GTGAAAATTGTATCTTTGTGCAATGGCGACAAACATCTTATATTAGGAGATTTTAATCTTAGCAATATTGACTGGAGTAAATCTCATAATGGATTTCCTCGGCTTGATGGTGAAGTTAAGTCAGCATTGCTGACTGATTTTATGGTTACTACTGATGTGGTACAATTAAATTCCGTATTAAATCACAATCGTAGAATCTTAGATCTTGTCTTGGTGAGCTCAAGTTTGATATGCTCGGTCACTGGAACTTTAGGCATGAGTCGAATAGATGAACATCATCCCCCATTGGAAATTTCCATAAAAGCAGAGAGAGCTCGTGCTCTGATAGAGGTCGTATCATCTAGGTTTATATTTCGAAAAACTGATTATGATGCCTGTATATCTGAGCTAAATAATGTTGATTGGGCTCAATTTAGTGATTTATCTTGTAACGATTTTGTACAGCATTTCTACAATACTCTTTGGGAAATTATTGAGAAATATACTCCTAGAGGCAGGCCAAAAAATATGAAATACCCTACTTGGTTTAGTTCATGCTTAATTAAAATGATGAAGGAAAAAAGCGTTTCCATAACAAGTATAAAAAATATAGGAACCCGAGAGATTTTGACACATTTTCCATGCTAAGATCCAGATGCAAAGTGGAGTTAGCTAGTTCTTTCAAACTGTATGTTAGTCGAACTGAGGAGAACCTCACCTTAGATATTAAGGCATTCTGGAGATACACTAAATCCAAAAGGGTCTCAAATAACTACCCCGACAAGTTTTTATATAAGGGTCAATCAGCTGAGGGCGGGATGAACATCGCTAATCTCTTTTCGGATTTTTTTTTTCAACTGTCTACAGCACTCCAAACCATTCTATATACACTCCAAACTTCAAACCAAGTACCTCCACTTTAGCCTCTATTCATGTTGCTGATAAAGATATTAAGTCTTGTATTAACTCAATCGATACAGGAAAAGGCGCGGGCCCTGATGGAATACCGCCTATTTTTGTACGTCGATGTGCGGTTGCTCTCATAAAACCCTTGGGTATTATTTTTAATAAATCCCTCAGCAGTGGCACCTTCCCTGACTTATGGAAAATTACAAAAATTGTACCAATATACAAATCCGGTGACAGGAGGTCCGTATCGAACTATAGACCGATTAACATTTTGAGTTGTTTTGCAAAGATTTTCGAAAGCTTGGTGTATGAACATTTTTATGCTCATTTTAGAGTAGTCATAAGCCCCAATCAGCATGGATTTGTCAAATCTAGATCCACTACTACTAACTTATTAAGTTATTCGCACTACTTAAATACAGTCTTTGATCAGTCAGGGCAAGTGGATTCGATTTATGCCGATTTTGCAAAAGCATTTGATCGTGTTGATCATTCTATATTATGTATCAAAGTGGAACATCTGGGGCTGCATGGCACTCTCCTATGTTGGCTGCGCTCATATTTACAAAATCGTCCTCAAATAGTAGCAATTGGTGGTCATGAATCTTCACCTTTCACAGCAAACTCAGGAGTTCCTCAGGGATCAAATCTGGGGCCTTTATTGTTTTTAATTTTTATAAACGACCTGCTTAACATATTTAATTCTAAATGCTTGGCATTTGCTGACGACATAAAACTATTTTACAGTATTCAATCCATTTCGGACTGCGCTATAGTTCAATCCGACATCAATACGTTAGTCGACTGGTGCGCTAAAAACAAAATGTCACTAAACATCAGTAAATGTCAAGTCATCACATTCTCTAATAAAAGGAATCTTACAGTTTTTTCATATAATATCTTAAACGTCCCCCTGGAACGTGTAAACATAGTGCGAGATCTGGGAGTTTGGTATGACTCAAAACTTTCTTTCAGAACCCATTACGACTCAATCATCTTAAAAGCCAGAAAAAACATAGGTTTCATAAATCGAATCACTAAGCCTTTCAAAAAAATCAAAAGCTTAATTATCCTCTACAATTGTCTGGTAAGAAGCAATCTTGAATATTGTTGCACCATATGGTCACCATGCTATAATAATCATATAAATAGACTAGAGTCAATACAAAAATGGTTTGTTCGTAGCCTCAGTTATAAGCTAGGTCTGGGAAAAGTTCTGCTAACATACAATGACAGACTTGCAAGGTTTAATCTGGATTCTCTTCTTATGCGACGACAACTTAGCGACCTCTTAACATTGCATAAAATAGTTAATCACACCCTTGATTCTGACGTCCCATGCCATGTTTCATTGAGATGTTCACGTAAATCTAGTCGTAGACAGCATCTTTTCCATATACCGCTAACCCGGAATAATGTATCTCATAACAATCCCTTAATTCGAATGTGTAGACAGTATAATATTTTATGTAGAGACATAGATATATTTCATCAAAACTTGTCATTATTTTTAAAAACTATTAAGTCCTCTAAGAACATTGGTCTACTTCTTTGTTACAAGTAAATTAGTAACTATAACTATAATTTATTACATACATTATTAAAATTGCATGTTGTGCTCGGTTGTTATTGAAATGCAAGTTTAGTAATATATATTAGTCTGTAATAATTTAGTCATGTTAGAATTTGTATTTTGTAACCGTGCCAAATAAATAAATAAATAAATATTTTGATCCATTATATCGGTACAAAATTTTCAATACAATTTATTTCTTCACTTTCTACATCTCTAATTTAAAATAAAAATTACGAAGATTAATTTATAAAAAAATGAACGATACGTGAAAATACGAATACTTACTCGATACTTCCTTATTTCCAATCAAAAATGCGTAAGCATCTCTAGTTAGTCTGTGGTTCCAATGCAATACCAAGTACTTTTTGTATCGATACTTTGTAATTGAAGTAATATCGGTAGAAAAGTATAGTCAGCATTTAAAATTAATAATTTCATTGGTGCCGGCACCGGGGATCGAACCCAGGTTGCTCGAGTATATTGAATTAAAAGCGAGCGCCTGGATAATAAGCTATCACTGCTACTAATCAAATACTAAAAAGTGTTAAATAATTTTTCTAATTCGTTTTAGTCCGTTATAAAAACATGGTACATTATTTTTTTTTATTTTATTTATCTTTATATTTGTAAAATGAACGAGGAAAAACTTTAAGATTATCCATAGTAAATGTGCAGCACTGATGATGTCTATAAGTAGTAGTTCTCGGGTAATTGTTACTATCCAATACTTAAAGTAATAAAAAAATTGCGAATTATAGGTTTAGATGCGGTTTTAATAAACTAGTAATATTCTAGTCATATTACGATTTCTTTTGATAGAAGCCGGCAAGCGAGCTTGAGGTTAACTTGATGTTAAGTGATAACCACCACCCACTGACATTTGTAGCACCCGTAGGTTTGCAGATGTGTTGCTACCTCTTAATACTGGGGCACCCGCTAACTCACTTACTAGACGAAACCCAAAAGAGTACTTCCACTTCACGCCGATCGTGGTACTTACTCGGACGGACCTTCGTGAGGCAGCGAAGACTGTCACGTGACCCTACCACAGTGAATTACCCTGCAAAGATCCATTAAGTTAAGGCGTACGGTTTGGTCTAATAGAAGGAGGAATTTTATCCAAGTGCGCGGAGCTCGTGGATTCAACCCTTGCTTAAACTATCCCAGTAGGTCACGAGCTTGGTCGTATAAACCTTCGGGTCTGACCGGCCTAGTACTAACTTAACCGGGCGATTTTCAGATTTTAATTCGCTTATTACTTCCAACTACATATTATTTGGAAGTAATTCCCATGCACGCCACGCAACAGTCCTCATGGTTGCACAAATGGGCAGGTCCGTCCGGGGCGTCCGTAAGTACCGCGAACTGACAGAACACCGGCGTGAAGTGGAAGTGTGAGACTTCTGCATTTTGTCTGGTTAGTGAGGTAACTGGGGCCCACTTTATTAAAAAGTTGCATCGCATTAGCAACCCTATGAGTGTTGTAAATGTCCATGGGCGGCGGTTTTCATTTAGCAACAGGTGAACCGGCAACATCGGTTGCAGCTCAGATAAAAAAATAGATTCTAACATGTTACTATTACGCTGGTCTTCTGTAATACCGTGGTACTTAGACGGATGAAATTATCCATTCGTGCAACAGAAGAAGCAGAGGCGTACCTACCAGAGTGAGAAAAGGTACTTGAGTTTTTAAAAAATTCAAAAAGTAGTTTTATAATCCCAAAGGCTTGTTGACTTTAATCGGACCATTAGTTTTTTCTAATTTATAAATATTAAAATATAGTGAGAAATAAAAGATTTCAAGTATGTTTGACAAATTTAATGGTAAAAATAACGGATGCAGTCATTGGGAGTAAAGCCATAAAAACAAATTACCAATAAGTCTTTTAACGCGTTTTTAGTAACAAGAATTTATAATTAATATATTTACCAATAAAAACAAATACATGAGCAATTAAAAAAAGTAACTACATAGTAAAATGAGCAAAAAAGTACACAACAAATGCAACAATATTCGTCATAACCAATGTTGTAATTAAGTCAGAGATTCTGTGAGATTCGATCGGATAACAAACGCAATTGTAATGTTTTATAAACCAACAGAGAAAAATATAATGTTTAATATTATAGTTTTAATCGTACTAAAAGTTTGTGAAATTAACATGTAAGAATTTATTTAACAAAATTTGAATAACATAATTATCGATTTATTTTATGGTGGGTTTTGTACAGAGGGACGATGGGCCTCATAATCAAGAAATGATTATATAAACATTACTTGATTTATTTACAATGGCACTTGATTAACATGACCTGTTTAATATATACAATAAACACAAACAAAACTGCAAATTATTGCTTTAAAAAAAGTTTTATAATATAAGGCTCAGAGTATTTACCTAAAACTAAACATAGACATGCGTGTAAAGCGCGCTTATTATGTTGTCTTTTATTTTAAAATCAGATCTATATTTAACACGTTAAATTTGAAAGTAAATAGAATTTACATTTACACTTTATAGTTGGAAGGTCTTACTCTATAAATTCTGAGGCAAAACCTTTTCAAGAAACACGTGATTCGTTGATAAAAGCTGAGATCGACGGCTCGAGATTCGTTGGTTTTGTGGAGATTACTCTCGAGGCAGTACTGGTCCCTGTAATGGGGGAACTTGGGGAAGGCTTCGGTACAGTAGTGCGGGTAGTACGATACCTCGTGTTCAACATCTATGTAGCCAAACTTCTTGGAGGCCTCCCGAAACTCCCCTTCCAAGGAGCAAGGGGACGCGATGTAAAACCTGTACTGCCTTTTGTATTTGTGCAGCAGCATCTCGGCGTTGCTCAGCACCTGGTCGACGTTGTCGAACAACTCATCCATCGGTAGAGACCCATATCGGTGCAGGAAAGTGGTCGGGGCCAGTCTGTACTTACGCCCTGACCTCTTGTCCCTCCAGATCTTGGTGGTGCTCTCCAGCTGCAGCAGGTAAGTGGGTATGCTGTAGCTGTGGGTCGCGATCACGTGCGTGTGGACGCCATAGGAGCTCTTGATCTCGCGGTGCAAATGATCGGTGAATGGGTAGACGCCGGCTTGGTGCACGAAGCCGAAGAACAGGGTGAGTAAGACGTTCAACGTGTACCAAATGCAGCGTAGAGTGTTCTTCAGTTTCCGCGTTGTGAGTGAATCCGCCTCGGTGGGGTGCAGGTGGTTCCCGTAGAGGTAGACCAGGGGCAGCAGCACGGGAATTATGAAACGAGCCTCCTGGTGAGGGAATAGGGATAGCAGAGCGACGGGAACGACAAGAGAGAACAGCATGAGCCCCGTGATGCTCTGTATCCTCGGCAGCTTGCTGTACTGCCCTCGGATGAATCTGCAACGATATGGAATGCAATTGGAGTATAAAACCTCATTAAGTTTTGTAGCCAAAGCGTAACAATTTTTACTTGGGAACAGTTGAAATTTTCACAGATGATGTATTTCTGTTGTCGATGTAACAACAATCCTAAAAAAACAGAATTAAAATATATTTAATACAACAGACATTATTTTTTTGCCGTTTTTATAGATAATGGTACGGAACCCTTTGTGCGCGAGTCCGACTACCGGCAATTGGCCGGTTTTTTACATTTTAAAGGCAAGGCAAATGTTTAAGTAACTAGGTTGTACCATCAAAATCCCATAGTACTGTCTTTAATTTCTTGCTAAGAAAGTTAATGTGGCAATGAATAAGAAATAAAGTTAATGTGCTAAGAAATGATGTTTTCATACAAAGACACTGAACGTGCTTTGTTTGTTATTTTCCATTTAATTTCACTTAGCCTGTTTTTACATTTTTAAACGTCTCTCTTATGGTCCTGTTTGCCCTAGATGGGGCAGAGGGCTTCCACAGTGCGTCGCCATCCCGTTCGGTCTTGAGCTTCACGCTTCAGTTCGCTCCACGTCTTCTTCTTATGTTCTTCGCCTCTGCGATGATCGTCCGCCGCCAGGTTTGCCTAGGAAGGCCGCGCCTACGCTTTCCTTGGGGAATCCAATCTAGGGCTTGCCTCGGTATGTGATCAGGGTCCCTTCGGAGCGTGTGGCCGATCCAACCGGCCTGAAGCCGGCGCGAGATCTCCTTTGTAACCTTCCACGTCTCACATCCGCATAGCAAAACGGACCGTTTGACCGGAATATTTTGAGCTTTACTCTCCTAGTCAATTTCTGCGACTGGACGGAGCTGTACGAAGGTTGCTTTTGCCTTGGCGACTCTCGAAGCGATGTCTTCTTCGGTTCTTCCAGTTTCCGACACTACACTAACGATGTAGGTGAATGTGTCGACCCTTTCCACAGCCTCTGTGCCAATAAGCAACGGAAATGAGTTTGTCGCACCGCATCTCATTTCCTGGGTCTTCTGCTGATTTTCAGTCCCGTCTCCTTTGCTTTTCGTTGTAGGTCGTCCAGCTTGGCTTGCATGTCGGCTCGTGTGTGGCTCAGCATTCATAGGTCATCGGCATAATCTGCTCTATGTCGCTTGTTGCCTATTGTTTTGTTCATGATTCCATCCAAGACAACAAGAGACGAGAGAGGAAAAAGAAGACGCGGTAGAGGTAGGTTTTTCGGTGGTAGAGCCACGTAGCAGCCTCGGTTGTTACACGAATGGGCAGGCTCGTCCGGGTAAGTACCACGACCTCACAGAAGAATGGCGTAAAGTGGAAGTATAACAAATACTTTCGCGTTTCGTCTGGCAAGTGAGGTAGCCGGAGCCCAATTTAGTCTGGTCCAGTGTCGGGATAGCAGATGTCCATGGCGGCGGTATTTACTTAACATCAGGTGAACCGCCTTTTTTTTTTTCTTTGTTGACGTGGGGGAAATGCCTACGCATTCCCGCCCTCGCGGGGGCAAGAGCGGGTTATGTGGGACTCGCACCGACTAAAACCCCCACGATGTTACACCTAGGCGCATATCGGCAGGGTCACGGGAACACTTTCGCACACTTCCGCGACCCTGCCAGCGCTGGCCGCCTTAGCAGCCCCCTCACGGGGATCAACTCCCCTCTCCTCCAGGTAAGGCGCGCTGGAACATTCAGCACGCCTTCCTACTCGGCCCCATTTTCACGGCCAACGAATTCCCCCGAGTTCGCTGACCGGGGCCATGGGAGCCAGGAGAGCCAGTGCTAATAAGCAGCAAGCCTCCCAGCCCCCAACGGCGGACCTGGTCTGTGGCTCCGCCGCTCACCACGTTTCGGCCGCGGAGGATAGGGAGAACGGCGCACCGCAATACCGACACTCCTCTCCCCCCGCGGCCCCACCACAGCTGCATCAGCGGTGCAGCCCCGCCGAGTCGCGGAGGCACGGCCAACGCAATACCGACACTCCTCTTCCCCCGCGACTCCTCCTCGGTAGCAGAAGACAGGGAGAGTGGCTCCACCTCTACCACCCTCGACCTGTCCCCTGCACCCTCCAGCACGCATTACCACACGAGTAGGCTCATTGAGCCCACTCGGAGCGGCCCTCTCGGGCCGGCCTTACACCACAGGCCGGCCCAGTGTGGGTTCCTCTTTGATTCGCCATGGGGGACCAAGCCACGGCTACCAAGCCCCTCCGCCACGTCAAGGCGGGAACCCGCTCGGAGGGGCAGGTGAACCGCCTGCTCGTTTGGCAACTTTTCTCATATAAAAAAAAGACACCCATATCGTACACCCGCATGAACCGGTATGTCGTTCGAGACGAGGCCGTCGTGTATATCTAATAATCAACACAATATTTGCAAAAAATTTTTAATATTAAAATATTTAAGAAAAAATATGTGAAACTGTACGGAAACACATTTTTCAAACACTATTAATCAATTAGAGAATAGGCAGATAATTATAGCTCGCAAAGATTAACTGATTCCTCACCAATTTTAATAACACTTTAAATAATATAAAAATTCTTGAATAAAGAAAATTAAAATTTATTTTTCCATCGAAGTAGTTTCCTTTATGATTAGACAATTTGATGATTGGGAATTTATTCAACTGACCTTATAATATAACACGAGCATTAGCACGAGTAAAATTTTTTACACTTTGGCAACAAATATTAATGAAAAATTTACATAAAATAATGAATATTATTACCTGTAGGTATTCCCAGACAGTGTGGTGAAGGCAATTATTCCCAGAACATTAAACAGCAATGGCATATTTACAATCAAATGCAACCATCGTGGGTGGATACCATGTTGCTTCAGGTTTCCAGTATCGGAATTGTAACGGAGAAAGTTCAGTGGAGTTACGACCCAGTTATCCCAGGACAACTTTAGTGATTCTAAATCTGCGCTTGTTAGATATCCGTAATAACTGGAGTCAATAAGTATGAGAATCAGAGCCATTGGTACACCGCAAAGCATAAATGTGAAGATTCTATAATGGAAATCTTTAAATCCTACTACTTTAGATCCTAGGCCCCTGTGAAGCCAAAAGAAAATTGGCACGAAAGCGAAACCTACAAACGTTGGACGGTTAAAGACACCAATTAATACTAGTGTTGCAAGAATAAATACTTTATTTAGGGAATGTTCGGGCAAATGTGTTTTCAATTTAAAAATTTTAACTTTCTCCACTGCAGTTGTAGCTTGATTATATTTCTCAGTGAGAAATTCATCATGATATATCACCTTATCTGATTTGTTCATACATTGAGCTACCAAAAATAGGAGCATCGAAAAAAAAATCATTTCAAATGTATTGGAAAAGCTTCGACAGCAATAAACAAATACTACATATGAACTTGCAAATATTTTGAGCCTATTTCTATAGTTCTGCCCATACAGGACACATATTTTATACAAACAATAGTCATTAATCAGGGATAAAAAACCGATGAATAATCGAGGTATAACCAATAGGTAGTAAGGTGTTTGTAAGTCAATATTTAAATAAACCTTTGTATAAGGATTTAGTATTCTTATTAAATGTAATGGTGGGCCAAGTATTATTTTTGGTACAAAGATGTTTCTTATTGGAAACTTTGGATTAAATTCCCATGTTCTTGAGACTTCAATGGGAAAGATATCACCTGGAAAAATGTTTAATTTTTTAATTTAAGAAACAGTATATAATATATCTATATATAGGTAACTACACTTGATACAGTTACCAAGTTTCGCAAACAATGAATAATTTGAATAGAGCTTTTTACCTGCAATAACTTCGACGTTTTGAAAGAATTCATCTGGATGGATATAACCTGGTTGTGGTATAATAGTTAGAGCAAATCTTATAATCACTAACAACCAATATGATAAAGGAAGTTTTACAGGATTTCCAAAAGAAATGGCCTTAAAAATTTTCGTTTTTAAAAACATCTTATCTTGGCACCACTCGGCCAAGATATTGGAAGATTATTACTGTAAATAAATATGTCATTTACATTTCTTCTCTTCTTCTTCTTCTTTGATTAATGGCCTCTCTTAAGAGAATTGTGCCAATGTCATGTCAGTCATGGGAGTCACTCTTATTAATAAATTACAACTTTTTAATGACCAATGGCCAAATAAAATAAATATTGATACATGACAATTGAATAGACAGTGACATTGACAGTAACCGTTACCTTGCCAATATAATTTTTATACCGTTTAGGAACTAAAGCAATGGTTTTGCCGTCGATGTTGTTTTTTTTAATACGCTTAGCTTGGTACGTATTTAGGTTAACGAATATTTCTAGATCCGATACCCAGTAGTATCTTTGTGCCAAGTACGTTTTCTAAAAATGTTTAGAAATAAAAGAATCGGTCTACTTTACTCTTTTCACAAAACGCTACCATATACATTTTAGCGTATTATTTAGTTAAGTCTTTTGCTTATTGGTCCTCTACATTAACAAACCTGAGTCAATGACAATGCATGCTTCGCATTTCTAATTTAGCAATAATAAATCTACATATACGCTTCCCATTTCTAATTTAGCAGTTATAAATCTACATATACGCTTCCCATTTCTAATTTAGCAATAATAAATCTTAATAGTTTTTGTCACTTTAATAACTGAAACCTAAGTCTTCGACACTGACTCGCGCTATGTAGGTTATACACGATATTCTCGTGTGCCAGGCGAGCTCAGATCACAGTTATGGGCTATGGTAGAGATGCTAACGCATGCTGGCCCAGATGCCACCCAGGCCGCTATTGAATCGCTTACCTACGTCATACACGTTATTATTGTTATTTTTTGATTGCGACCGTTCGACAAGTAATTAAAGACGAAGGTTTCGAACATGAAATTTTCGTGATTAAATTATATTCCTAAATAACTACAGAAACAAATTGTCAGCGAAAAAAAGTCATTTGAGTACGATATGTGTTTATTGATGTTCATTGACGTTTTACAAACTGTCCCCACTAATGATACAAAATAGTTTTTCCAGTGATGACTTTGGCACTTATTAGATTGAAAACACTGTCACTGTACTACAAAGTTACATATCATATACATTTAATTTTGAATACCATCCATAAATTAGAGTAGCATATAGAACTGTTAATACTGTTAATATTAGTCAAGTTAAATAAAGCTTTTATTATTAACCAGTACTTCATTATTCAGTAAGGGAAAATTCAAGTTATCTACATGTTTTAAAGTTTCAACCACTGTTTAAAATAAATGAATAAAAAAACAAAGCATGCTGCAAGTATGTTTTAAATTGAGAAAAGATTTATGTAACTGGCATTAAAAGTTTCGAACACCAATGCAATACAGCATTGTATAAATATATACCATACACATACATTTTTAATTTTTTGTCAGCAAAAAAATAAATAAATAAAAATTTAAAAAAGAAAAAATACAAAAAAATAAATGCTTCAAGTATCTACTGGCCGTATTATATCAACTCAATTTACTAACCTTTAAAATATTTTATTTTAATAAATTTATGTCAAGTACACCTTACACCTGCAAAAATAGTACTTCAATTAAACTATTTAAATTTTATAAAATTGGGTTAAAGCGAATGTGAATGATATTAATTTCAGAGATATTTTAGTAAAGCATGCCAAAATACGAAATAGAGGTCAGTCTTTTTATTTTTATGACTTTTCATAAAAAAAATAAAAAAGGAAATATCTAAGATATTTCTAAACAGAGGTATAAAATCTTAAAGTGAAAGGGTGGTAGAGGTACATCTAATTTCTATTTAATATTCTAATGAATACATATAAAAGTTTTAAATATATTACTCCCCATAGGTAAGAAAGTGCAACTTAACATAAGGTACATAGGTATACAACATGAGGGGAAGTGGCCAGGGGTGTACCTCGTCACCGGCACCAAATAACGAGGGCATATCCGTATTCTTTCTAAAGGATATGGCATTGTAAGGCCGGCCTGAGAGGGTCCCTCTGTTTAAAAAATTGTCGGTCCAATGCTGCCTCCAATTATATTACTATGTTATTATTAAAAAACCAAATAAAAATGTGGAATTACTTGTGCGTCACTGCTTTTGGCGTATTACATAAGATGAAAAAAAAATAATAAAAAATTAGTGTTAATATTGTACAAAACCAAAAAATTGGTAGATTTTACTACATGAAACTGTTTATCATTAATGAGTTTTTTTCTAGAATTTGTACATTATTTAGGTAAATAAATTACTGAATTTACCTATTAACTAGTAATTAAAATGTTAATAAATTTGCCATATTTAAAATCTCTTGTATATTAATATTAATGCTGCCCACAAATTTAACAACTACCATCATTAGGAAACTTCCCACTAGAAACTATAAGATAGCAGTTATAGCTTAACCAAAAACAGTTTCTTGTACCTATTAACTAAGGTAGCAAAGCGAGTGTTAGATCCCCATAGCAGGTCTTTTATATTTCTGGTCAGGATATAAAAAAAAAAATTACGTTACTATTGGAATGAATGTGTCAAAATCCAATTTAAATTTTTAAACTTACCAATAGTCAGTATTCTAATACCTAACTAGTTAAGTTTTATAACATTAAATGTTCCCTTTTTACCATGAAGTGTAAAACTACAACTGATTACTTTAAAATCATGTGAAGTGATTTGTCAGTTGTTAAATAACCGCTACACTAATATATTAGCAAGAAACTAGTTAGTATATCATACCAGTAGGTGCAAGTTTTTATCTAAGTTATTCACTGTGTTTCACTTTGAGTTAGTTAATACATTATATTAATATTGTAATCAACATATGTAGCCTTTTCGAACTACTCCATTTGTATGTCCGTTCGGTAACACCACGGCATGTCCTCTCCAAATTTGCATCTGTGAGCGTTGTTCTTAGCGTCGTATAGCAGAGGATTGTCGACGTACGCGTCGCATATGTTACACCACACGGACAAATCGAGGAGAGAGAGCACTAACGCGTGCTGAGTCGCCTGATGATGAGCCTGCATATGACCGTTTATGCTGCGACCGCAGGCAGTCTGAAAAAAAAAGGTGTTCTGAATGAAATGAGACAGCACAATGAACAAAAAAAAATTTTTGTATGAATTATTTGGCATCTTGCTAAGAATTCGTGTACGGATAAAAGGATCCGGTTTGAGGGATCACTATTAACTTTTTTGTAATAATATACGTAAATAATCTCATAAAGGCTTATTTGGCATTTCTCACAGATTAAAACTTATATGGATCAAAGAATCCAGCTTGCGGGACCAATATCAACTTTATTGTAACCTGTATTTAAGTGTACCACATAGCACTAAAATACAAATTGGCAAACATACAATACTTACAACATAGCAATGCAGACACACCCAATTTTCATTCTTCTCGTTGCACTCTGTACATTTTACTCCCTGCTCGAATTTCACCGAGGGTGGTATTGCGAATAGACTGTCTAAATGTGGACACCACGGAACTGGCACCACTGCGAACATCTCGCCGTCGACCAAAGCCTGCATATTTTCGGATAAATAATCCACCAGGGTGTGCTTCCCTTCAACATCTTTGCAATGGGCCTCCTTCAGCCACACTCTTTGAACAACCAGACCCGTCTGGTGTCTTCGATGTGCCCACTTTAGGTTTATTCTCTTTGTCTCGCTTCGATTCGTCGTCCTCGTCGTCAGTGCCGCAGTGGATGCCGTCGGTGCATTTCGATTTGTCTATGGTCAAATTCATCATGTCGCTCTCCAGGGAGGACTCGAATTGACTGAGCGACTTGGAGGTGTCGTTTGCCGATTCGTCCAATGGCTTGGACGGATCTGTGTTATTCGAGTCACTCGCCAGGCCTCTGGAGGGCGGCGGCGCTTCCAGAACGTTCTCCGCGGGCAGCGCCAGTTGGAACTTCAGACTCTTCCAGTACTTGCTGTGGGTTTTTATCACGTTGTTGATTGATTCGACGGCGGACGGGTGGCATGCGGCCTTGGGGTCGTAGTGGTGCTGGATGGGGTCGCCGAGGAGAGCTTTCGTGCACATGGTCATTGCGTAGGATATGCTGGTGACGTTGTACCCGCCCTCCAGACAGAGGACCACTTTGCCGCCGGCGAGTCCGCGCAGCAGGTGGGTCATCCGGCCGTAGCACTCCGGCGTCACTTTGCAACCTGAAAGAAGGGGCGTGTTGCAACAAGGACCAGCGGAATAGGACACCAGTTCAACAGTGGTAGGGCCACGCGAGTCTTCGCTGTTGCACGAATGGGCAGGTCCGTCCGGGTAAGTACCACGACCTCGCAGAAGAGCGGCGTGAAGTGGAAGTGTTACACTTCAGCGTTTCGTCTGGTGAGTGAGGTAGCCGGGGTCCACTTTGTTAAAAGGTTTCAAATGTCAATTTCGGCGGCTATCACTTAACGTCAGTCGAAACACCAGCTCGTTTGCCATCTTCTCATATAAAAAAATCCGTGACGTCACCCACCGACATCTAGCTCTGTTCGACGTTGCACCAACTCACATGGCCCAAAATCTGATCATTCTTCCCGATAATTTGTTGTGTGACGTCACGAGCTAGCGTAGTTATTTCAGAGATGATGTTATACGGTGCTTATTGAGAATATTGCAGCACGCTTGTTGAGAACATATCGAATTGTATCGTGGAGCTCAACAAAGTGTGCAAATAATTTTAACACTACAATTCCGCGTCGTATTTTAATTTTTACTTTAAACGGAGTAAAGAGCAACCCAAGAAGAGTCATTTTATGATTATATTCGATGTTTGAAGTTTATCTTCGAAAACCCAGCGAGGATTTCAATCGTTGAACAAAGGCGTCTTTTGCACGTTGGGTAGGACGTAAATGGAACAGAGTTGGGTGGTAATGACAATGGCAACCAACCTCCCAAGAAATCGCCCACGCAGGCGTCGAACCCGGCTGAGACGATAACCAGCTCAGGGTTGTACTCGTGGGCGATCGGCAGGATCACCTGTGTGAACGCCGCCATGTACTCTGCGTCGCCCATTCCTCGCTGTTGGAGAAGATTTCGGTATTAACACATGTTCCCACCTACTTACAGTGCCTGCATGTTCCGTTAAATGCTTTTCAATATGAGACGCGAGCTAAAATATACAGGGTGATTTTTTAGACGAAGTACATAGTTTGCCATAATTGAGTATTTTTTTTTTTTTGAATTACGAAAAATATTAATATTTTTTTTTGACAAGAAACAACCAGAAAAATATCTATTCAAACACTGTTTGTTTATCCCATGAAGAGTGGTCACCATATTGAGCGGTTTAGTAATTATGCGTTTAGCTAAAAGTTTTAGTGCTCTGATCTCTCAGTAGGTTATTGTATTGAGACGGTAAGGCAGGAATTTCTTAAGGTGTCCATAATGTTTGAAAAAATTAAAAATAATCTTTGAAAAAAAAAATGAAGTCACAAGTACGTACCAGATTCAGATTTAGAATCAAATTCTGCATATGCTCTGTTAATATGTCCGTCGTCTATAAAACTACCCTGTATGTATGAGGACCCAAAATGTAACAATCAAATATGCCTTTTGCACGTCTGTAGGGCAAGTGAGTATCATGGCCTCGAAATCGAATCGTCGAGAAGTGGAAATATTATGGAGGCGTTTTTTTTGCTGAGGGGTGGTAACAGCACTCCAATTTATTAAATTTTGGCAACTGAACAGATCTTAAAAATTGCTTAACTTAAAAATATATCTATACAGATAAATAAAATTGGAGTGTCTGTTTGTAATATTAAAATAACCGCTTTTGAATAAATGCTTTATGGATGTGAGCACGGTACATATACCAAAATAACCTTTTTTATAATTTTTGTCTGTCTGTCTGTCTTTTTGTTCATGCTAATCTCTGAAACAGCTGGACCGATTTGGACGGGACTCTCACTGGCAGATAGCTGATGTAATAAGGAGTAACTTAGGCTACTTTCATTTTAGATTTTTTATTTTATTTAAAATTCCACGCGGACGACTGTATGTGCCATGTGTACATCCATATGCGTTTAGTAAACTGCGGTTATTTTAATTTTACAAACAGATATTCCAAATTTAAATTGTTTATAGTGCTAATCTTTGCACTTAAGATTGAACATTAAAATATGTAGAAAAAGTGCGAAAAGATTGTCGCCGCTGTGGGAATCGAACCCACGTCTTCGGCATTCGCGGCCTGACGCTCTAGCCACTGAGCTAAGCGGCTGATTATACCGACATATTTTCTACACATTTTAAGATATTCCAATTTTATTTATCTGTATAGAGTATAGATATAGATGGGTTATCGAGAACGGAGCATGTACGGGTCGTGTGAGGTTGTGTGTGTTTGTGTGTGTTTGTGTGCGTTTAGGGCCATCTACCTTGTTCCAGGGCACGTTGACGTTGTAGCCTTCGGCGGGAGCGGCGCCCACAGCGTCGTAGTTGGCGTCTGTCGACTTCGGGAAGAACGTAGCGTTGTCGTATCGATGAATAGACATGTACAGTATCTGAAACGGAGACGAAAGTAAAGTGCATGCCCACATAAAATGGTTTCGCAGTTGCTGGTGTTTTTGCACATACAACAAACGGAATGGCAATGCCGTACTAAAGTTACAGAATAATAGTATTGACAAGGTTTTCAGGCCAAAACCTATCTTAGGGTATTTGGACGAAAAAATGTACTTGTGAATACTTTTAGAATTTTTTTTTATTACTTTCATATAGGTTCATTTCGCTAAATTTTATACAAATATTTTTCCAATAGCGTGAACTCGAAACGAACTCTACCCTTTGATGCCAGAGATAGGTTACTTAACCACTATGCTAGCCAATCGGCTCGTCAAGATGAAGTAGGATTGAATGAAAGTGTGTATGAATGATCGAGCGAACCGCATGACAGTGCGAATGAATGATCGAGCGAATCGCATGACAGTGCGAATGAATGATCGAGCGAATCGCATGACAGTGCGAATGAATGATCGGGCGAATCGCATGACAGTGCGAATGAATGATCGAGCGAATCGCATGACAGTGCGAATGAATGATCGAGCGAATCGCATGACAGTGCGAATGAATGATCGAGCGAATCGCATGACAGTGCGAATGAATGATCGAGCGAATCGCATGACAGTGCGAATGAATGATCGGGCGAATCGCATGAAAGTGCGAATGAACGAACGAGCGAGCGAATGAACCGAAGAGCGAGCGGGCTACCTCTGTGTCGCCGTACGTGATGCGCTGCGTGCCGTTGCCGTGATGAACGTCCCAGTCGAGGATCAATACGCGAACGAGCCCGTGGCCGCGGACGGCGTAGCGCGCGGCCGCCGCGGCGTTGTTCAGCAGGCAGAAGCCGCTGGGCAGCTCCTCGTCCGCGTGGTGCCCCGGCGGCCGCACCACGCACACGCCGCCGCCCGCCGCGCCGGACAGAACTGCGTCTACCGCCTACGGGAATAGGGTCCGAAATCAAATGCCGCAGGTGATGCGATGAGGCAGCGTCTTATTGCCATAAAGATAAGGTTCAAAACGAGACCGCGCCGCTGCGGATGGCTTTGCGCATCGGTCACTTGGCGAATGAGCTACTGTGTCTTATTACTATAAGGATAAGGTTCAAAATCATACGCCGACGGGTTAGCGCCTGGGTGACTTGGCGGTATACCAAGAAAGTACTGTGTCTTATTCGTATAGAACTGGGTTCGAAATCAGATTACGCTGTTGTGAACGACTTTAAGCTTCGGTGATTTAGCGGTATACCAATGAGGTGCGGTGCTTACGATTATAAGGGGTATCAAAACCAGATTGCGCTGCTTTGATTGGCTTTACGCCTCGGCTTCTTGGCGGTATGAGGTACTGTGCCTTATTACTTGACGGAAAAGGTTCCAATTCGATTGTGTCCCAAAGTACGCCAGATTTGCGTCCCAATAATGTAGGATAATTTGCTAGTTATTGTCGCACATCAAATCTCTGAGTAACGTGCTACAGTAATCACGCTTTGTATAATATACAAAAGCATCGCTTTTAAAAGCATGAACGCTTGTTCGAATTTGATTAGATCATTCTTCTTGTTTCCTATTAGGAAGCGATGCCACCTTTTAATTAAGTGGGCCCCAGCTACCTCACTCACCAGACGAAAGGCAGATGCGTAACACTTCCACTTTACGCCGGTATTCCGTGAGGTCGTGGCACTTACCCGGGCGGACCTGCCCGTTTGTGCAACAGCGAGCACTATTGCGTAGCCCCACCACAGTAATCTTAAGATCGGAGCCAATTTCAGCGGTACAGGTAAGAGGTACAGTCGACACCAACTTGCAGGACGCATCCGGCTGCCATGGCGGCGCTCTCGTACGAGTCAGGGTGGAAGTAGACCGAGTCGAAGGACTCCTCCTGGTGTCGAAGATCTCGCAGCTTGGTAGTGGACAGCTCCTTCAATCTGGGTTTGCATCGATTAAAGTATAAATACTGTTATACTCAATATCTTTAGCAGCTTTAGCTTACACCCGCTGTTTTATACAGATGGTAAAAGTATTATGATATCGCGACCAGATAATAGCTACCGATCCGAGGTCCGGCCCTCTCGGCTGAAAATATCGATATATACAAAAAATCGATACATCCATATTTTTACGACATCCCTATTATAAAGGAGGTCACCTCAAGCCCGGTGGATCTGTAAAGACCCCCTAAAGGCCAACAGTGAAAGATTGTTCATAAAGAAAAGAAAAAGTACCGCATTGTTGGAAAGGAATTGGCAAACAAGAAAGAAACTCAACTGGATTTTTTCTCTGTACAAAACTCAAGTAATAGAAAAATAATAAATCGTTAAAACATGTAGAAAAAGTACGAAAAGATGGCCGCCGCTGTGGGAATCGAACCCACGTCTTCGGCATTCGCAGCCTGACGCTCTAGCCACTGAGCTAAACGGCTGATAGCCACAGCGACGAAAATCTTAACGCCTTCTTTCTACATGGTTATTTAGCATTTGAAGCAATGCTTGCAATTTGAATACAGCGGCGACAATCTTTTCGTACTTTTTCTACATGTTTTAATGTTCAATCTTAAGTGCCGAGATTAGCACTACAAAAAACCTTTAAAATCTATAATAAATCGTGATGAATACAATTATGTTGATTCGGTGCTAGGTAGGGAAACGAGAACGTAGGCCTATGTTCAGCTGTGGACTGGAATAGGGCGGGATGCTGATGTTGTTGAGTCCTTGTGTACCTTTGGAGGTGCGAGGGTGTGTGCACGTCCAGGAGCACCTGCTCGGGGGCTGGTCTCCCCGCCAGCTGATGAACCCTTCCCAGAAGACCAAAGTCGCGATGCCGCTCGTGGATGCGCATGACGCGCTCAGGGCACTCCACGTGGCCTCTGCGTGCAAGCGTTCATACCTTCATCTTTTCGCGTAGAAGTTGCCACATGAGCAGGCGGGTCATCTGATGTTAACTGTCTTTAAAGGTTATGATATTTTTTATTACTAAGACTACTTATAACTATTACTAAGACTTCGCTGTCTGTCTGTCTGTCTGTCCGTCCGTCTGTCCAGGCTCAGAACCGTGATAGGTAGACAGTTGAACTTTTCACAGATATTCTATGAAAAAGTGGTATTTACTTCTGAGACCACATTATTCTATGGGGTTTGTATTGCGTCAGTCTCTCTCTCCACGTTTTGTTTCCTCTCTCTCATTTAACGAAATGTGCCTAAGCGTGTCCAGTCCTTTAAATTTCAACCACAACTTGTCTAACTATCGCATCGGCACCGAAGAAATTTCACTTATAAAACATGATTATTCGGGTAAAAGACAACTTACGGCTCGCAAATGTTCTTGTGTTTCAACATCGCCTCGTCATACACGTAGCATACTGCATGCTGGGGCATCGATAGATTCGTGACTGTAACAATATCGTAGTATATGTATATTAATTTATTTACGGTTCATGAGATGCGGCTTGGTGACAGACGGACAGATGGACAGCTTAGCATCTGTGCCACCGACTCACTTAGTTAATTATACTAAAAAAAAACTAAAAACATCTCAGCTTTCAACTCACCCAGTCGCAAATGGTTCAGCCGCTCCGCGATCCTTTTCTTCGTCGAATCGTCCTGCTTCGGGTAGCAGTCTCTGGTGGCGAAACTGTCGGGCCTAGTCTCGTCTCCCTCCCACTTGACGGCGACCGTATGCTTCCGTTTCGCTCCGTCGCAAACGTTGGGAGTGGGGCCCACGCTGTACGTCGGCTGGTAGTTGAAGCAACGCCAGTACGGTTTGTGCGCGTATATGCAGTTCAGTATCGAATCGCGGATCCTGTCGAACGTTTTTTTTTTTATCTGATGATACAAATAAAATTCGCGTTCTTAATTTAAAATATATTTTTTCTTTATTTGAGAACACGGCATTTCAGCTGGCGGTTCACCCGATAACCGCCGCTAAAGGAGATTTGCAACGGCCGTAGGTTTCCAGACGCATTGCCACTTTTTAATAAAGTGGTCACCGGTTACCTCACTCACCAGACGAAACGCAAAAGTATGACTTTTCTAGCATAAATTGAGATACAAACTATAATATCACTCAAGTTGTATCAAACTGCACACAGTGTGCAAAATATAAAAATCAAAATTATTAAAATCGATTCAGTAGCTTAGGTACTCATCGCTGGCAAACAACGTGACACAAAGTTTTTATATTTATACAGGGTGATTTTATATACGACGGACATATTAATAGAGCATATGCAGAATTTGATTCTAAATCTAAATCTGATACGTACTTGTGGCCTCATTTTTTTTTGCAAACATTAGCTTTAATTTTTTCAAATATTCCTTAAGAAATTCCTGTCTTACCGTCTCAATACAATAACGTATTCACGAGCACTAAAACTTTTCGCTGAACGCATAGTTACTAAACCGCTTATCAATAGGGTGACCACTCTTAACGGGATAAACAATGTTTGAAATGATATTTTTCCGGTTGTTTCTTGTCAAAATAAAATAATATTTTTTTTAACTATGGAATGCCCAATTAACATTATTTCAAAGTATGTACTTCGTCTAAAAAAATCACCCTGTATATGTACGTAATGTATGTAGGGAGATTTTTTGAGAAGTGCCCAAATTTACACAGCAGTTTCAGACTCGGTAGTATAATCGTTTATTGAAATAAAAAACAGTTTTTTTTTCCAAAAAAAAATGCCGTGCTAAAAAACAGAACGTGTTGACAACGCGGTATTCATTCATAAATACCAAAATTTTACTGTGCACGAACTTGTGTGCGTGTTAGTTATGAATGATCGCGCGTAAAATAAACGAGTTGCCCATAAATCACGCACATTTTGAGATAAGTTCGAATGAACGTAATTAATTACTCACGATTGATTTTAAATATTTATCATTTTCATATTACATTATATATAAAGTTAAAGATTTTCATTTTAAGTTAAAGATTGTCTCACGAGTCGCCGGGCTCGGTGGGGTGCTCCGCCGGCGGTGGGGGCGCGTGGCCGAGCAGAGTGCGCAGTGTGAGCGCCGCGCCCTCTGCCAGCGAGGGCAGGCAGTAGCCGCCCTCCAGCACCACGCAAACGCGCGAGCACACCCCCATTAACGAGTGCAGCAGCGTGGCGTAGCAAGCGGGGGTGAGTTCCATCTCGCCCTGCCAGTCACCATCGTCATAGGCGTCCACAACAGATAAATAAATAACAAATATATCGTGCAATTCCTTTACGTTTCAGTAGGTTGGAGTCCCCCATAGATAAATGAATAAATAATAAATCTATAGTGGGAAATTTTTCACAGCGTTATCTAGTCTCAAACCAAGCAAAGATTGTACAACTTACGAAAGGTAATTTTCTTTTGTGAATAAATATATATGGCAGATACATAAACACCCAGACACTAGAAAAACACTATGCTGATCTAACAAGAAGCGGGAATCGAACCCACATTCTCTGGCGCAAGAGACAGGTGCATGCTAGGTTTTGAATTATACTAGGTTTTGTATATACAAAACCTAGCATGCAACAAAACAAAACCTACAATATTTACGCTAGGTTTTGTATATACAAAACCTAGCATAAATATTGCCTATTACAATTAACGGCCAAAACACAAACATGAGAGAAGCCGTGCTAAAAAAGTAATGCAATAATAAGTCCACAGCAGTCTCAAATTTTTGAAGTTATACTTCTTTTCGCGCGTTTGGAAAAAAATATGAGAATAAAATTTATACGATTCGCACGCATACCGACCTCCAAAAAGCGACACGATAAAGTATTTTGCAAATCAACCAATTTCACGGTATTACCATGACAACCAATAGCAACTTTTTGACATTTACCTATAACTCCAAGTTCCAATAACACAAAAAAAGAGTTATTTTTCTTTTGTAACGCTGTATAAGTATAACTTACGTGCGTACATTAGTACACACATATTTATTTTTTTAATTTGCATAAGCAATTGCCTTCTAACCTAACCTAACCTTTTCGTCGCCCAAAGCGGAGTCGAATCCCGCCGACACGATCACAAGCTCGGGTGCGTACTGAAAGAGAGAGATATAGAGTAGAAGGAGAGGGCGCTATACCTCGGGGCAGCCGATGGCAGCGTCGTAGCCCGCCGATACTATGATCAGCTCCGGTTGGTACTGGCGTTGGCGGGAAAAGAAATCTCGTTAGGAACGACAATACAATATTCACAACAATTACATTTAATATGTGACAGCACGGTGTATGTTTCAAGTGCTGACTTATCACGTGCTCAGCGGTGAAGAAAAAACTGAATATTCTACTGCAGCTGATGCGATTAAGGAAGGTAAGACACAGAAGATGAATTTAAAGTCATTATATTTGAGCGTTTCGTATTTTTTAGCAGGCGGCCCACCTGATGTTAAGTGGATGCCGCCGCCCATGGTCACTCACAGCACCTGAGATGCGTTGACAACCTTTAAAACGTGTCTCCGGTCACCTCACTCACCAGACGAAACGCGAAAGTATGATCCACTTTATTTTGAGGCCGTGGTACTACCCCGGACGAGCCTGCCCATCCGTGCAACAGCAGAGGCTGTTACGTAATGGAGATAGTAGGGTAGTTCGTAATCAAAAGGCAGTGTTTTTAAAGCCAGCAAAATATACATTATCCGTCTTGTGTTACAGAACATCCTTGTGTAATGACACGGGGCGTCTGCTCGCTTCAAACGTTCCTTATATTCAAAACCTGCCAAATGCGAGTCGGACTCTCGCAACGAAGCGCTCCGTACCATTATCTATAAAAACGGCGAAAAATCCATGTCTGTTGTATGGGAGCCCCACTTAAATATTTTTATTCTGTTTTTTTAGCATTTGCTGTTATAGCGGCAACATAAATGCGTAATCTGTGAAAAAATTCAACTGTCTAACTATCACGGTCCCTGTGAGACAGCCTGGTGACAGACGGACGGACGGACAGACAGACAACGGAGTCTCAGTAATAGGTAGGTTTTACCCTTTAGGTACGGAACAATAAAATTGGCTCACTTCCAGGGCCATCGGCATTAGGAGCTGGTGCCATATGGCCAGGTAGTCAGCGTCGCGCATTCCCGTTGTGTTCAGCGGCACGTTGAAATTGTACCCCGCTCCCTTTCCCCGCCCCACGTAGTTGAAGTCGGACTGCCGGAGGTTCGGCCAGAAGGCGCCGTGCTCGTAGCGGTGGACGGAGAAATAGACCACCCTGTATTTCGTACAATACTTTGTGAGGGGTAGGGTCGATGATGTTCAATTATATAGATGACGCATGTCCACACTGAGCGGCGTTCAATATTGTTCCGCTTTACGTTATATGACACCAGCGACCCGCTCCGGCTACACACGGGTGCAATGTATTATACATATAAACCTTCCTCTTGAATCTAGTAAATCTAGTAAAAATATAAATCTAAACATAAATATATATAATCTAAATATAAATAAAATATAAATCTAGTAAAAAAAACCGCATCAAGATCCGCGTAGTTTTAAAGATCTAAGCATACATAGGGACAGACAGACAGCGGGACGACTTTGTTTTATACTATGTAGTGATATAAGTGAATGTGAGAGATGAATCGCCTTTTAGCGATAAGGCCGCCTTTTGTATAGTTTTGTATTATTTTTTGCCGATTATTCAATATCCTAGTGCACAATAAAATATATTTTATTCATTCATTTATCATACAGCATTACACCAATTGGTGTAATTTGAGCACCTCAATTTCGGTGTGCTAGTGTCAAACATATTATGTTTGTATATAATATCATTGGGTAGGGTAGTAAGTCCCAACGACCACTGCGACGAAGAAAGATCTGTACACACGTTTAGAATTAAAGGGACTTAATCAGGAAAATGATGAATCTGACTTTATGTAAGGAAACTACCTAAAACGACTAGGTACCATTTTATACTCTTAATAAAACAAGGGCCGATTTTGGCGTAGTAAGCTTCAATTGTCATAATGTATTCGGTCTCTTTCACTCCCCTCCAATGACCGCGTTCGTACATAAGTGCACAAATCGATATTTTTAAATAGGTCACTATAATTCTAGAGGTGAGTATTTTAGTATTCCTTTAAACATTGCCCGTCACAGTAGGATATCGTTATCCTTTGTTGTAAGAATGTGTTACATACTTCACAAGTGCACCAGATCCGAAACAATTGTCTGTGGTACAATGTACAATTGTAGGAATCGAACCCCCGACTGCCCTGGCAGCTGCGCCACGAAGTCACCAACACCCTTGAAGCGTGCCGTGTAGTTGGAGATTGGGAACACGACACGCGTTTCGCCTCGTAAAGGGGCGATCTTTTGTACGAATGGGGGCGTAGGGGCAAATAGCGGGAAGAAAACTTGAGTCGTCACGTATTTAGCTTCGTAGAGGCAAAGTGTGTGTAGATTATTCAGCCGGAGCTCAATACTTTCTCTAAACATTAATACTACTTAATAATGAGTTTTAATAAAATTGAAAATTGAACAGATTGCGTTTAAGAAAAACATAGTTTCTATTATTAAAGTACGAAAACAGCAAATTATTGATCTCCCCTGCGAAATTTACATGTTTCTTATAACAACCGTTAATTTACGTATATGTATATGTATATTTACAGTGTCGCATAAGTATAAAAGTCATATTGAACCTGTCGTCGTCGTAGAACATCTGCTGGGTCGCCTGTCCGTGATGTACATCCCAGTCTACGATCAGTATTCTGCAAATAAATACGACTGTAATGAACAAATAAGAAACAACAATACTTACACCATACACATACAACAAACATGCACCACAACCTCACAAATATCGGCGTCGAGTGAAAGTGCATTACTTCTACTTTTCGTGCGGTGAGTGAGGTAGCCGAGATGTTTCGTAAAATGGTGGGCGGCGGTTATCACTTAACATCAGGTGAACGCCCAGCTCGCTTGCCTCATTATCACAAAAAAAAAAAAGAAAACAGGTGAACCGACTGGTCGCTTGTAAAATCCTTCACATTAAAAGCAATAGCAAACCTCTCCACCATTCTTTTTCATTTATACCACTCTGACCTGGTCAAGCCCGCGTTCCGTATCGCGTGGGAAGCGGCCAGCGCCGCGTTGTTGTAGAAGCAGTAGCCGCAGGGCTCCGCTCTCATCGCGTGGTGCCCCGGCGGCCGCACGAAGGCCGCCCCGTTCTGGACCTCCCCGCTGGCGATCCGCCCCACCAGGTCGATCGTGGAGCCGGCCGCTATCAGCGCCAGCTCGTGGGTGCTCTGCGGACAGGTGGTACCCTCAGGACACACTAGGCTAGGCTATAGTCTTTGGGCGGTAATTTTCGACATCGATTAACATCGTTGTTTCGTTGATCGCCAGTATTCGGTAATGTTCGTTACCAATTCGGATGTCGATGTCGGTGACATCCGATGTTAGACATTTCACCGACGGATGCCAACATCGCAAACTGGCATCCGATAACAGCGTCGTTGTTAGAATAACGAACATCTCTAATCATTATCCTCGTGCCCTTATCCCACCTAGGCGGGGTCGGCACAACATTTGAATCATATTGTAAGTGGATTTGGCTGTTTTTTTAGTACCGGGACCTGACGTCAACCCTCCTTGGGAAACATACGCCTAAATTTTTTTTATGCGAAAAGTTAACAAACGAGCAGACGGTTCACCTGATATTAAGTGAATATCGCCGCCCATGGACATCTGTCACACTCGAGGGTTGCAGATGCGTTGACAACCTTTTGAAAATTGGGCTCCGGCTACCTCACCCACCAGAGGAAATGGGAAAGTATTTATCATACTTCCACTTTACGCTGGTCTTCTGTGAGGTCGTGGTACTTACCCGGACGGGCCTGCCTATTCGTGCAAAAGCCGAGGCTGCTGCGTGGCCCTACCGCCGTTAAAAGACAATTCCGAATTAAGAAGGTCCGGGACAATTGCTTGTGGTTCACACAAATACTTGTCTCGTGTGGGAATAGAACCCACAACTCTCGACGCGGAAGCTAGACTATAGTCTAGCAGTCTAAAACTGTATATAGCCTAGGATAGTCATGGGCCAAGCTAGACTTAAAGTTACTCTACACTACGACTTAAGTTTCATATTTAAGCCAGGCTCTAGGTTATGCTTTAAGAACCACAAAAAAATAATCTAGATGTTTATTATAAACTCTTAAAGCACCTGTACGGGTATTGAATCAAAACTCTGTCGAACTTGTTTTGGGTAATGCACCCATTGGAGATGTGAATGGCTATAGATGCCGTTAAATTATTAACTACAGCCATGAGGCTATCGGCCACTTAGCTTAGTAAAGTGCCTAGGCGCGAAACCAGAAGACGCAGGCTCGAATTGCGCACACCGAAAGTTTTTGTTCATTCATCTACAAGAAATTACAATTTATACCAATTATGTTTGTGTTGATAAAGGATCAGCCCAAATATTATATTTTGCGGCCCTATCTTAGTTGATAAGATAAAATTTATTTATACAAATTTCTATCCGAAAAATCACCCGTTTACTAAACATTACGGGGAATTCACCTAAAAGTACTAATTTTCGATTGATGGTGATAAGACAAATAGGATTATGTTCTTATTAAATACAAATTCATAAGTCTGTCCCTATTAAACAACTCAGCTGCAATATGGAGTATAGATGCATAGTGGCATTTTATTAAATTTCAATTTATTGCTTTTTATAATTTAATAGTTAATAAGTTTCGAATTTAGAAATATTTCAATGCTTAAAATTTCTTTACATATCTCTTTCTGAGTAATTTTAAAATATGTAATATTTGCACACTCTATAATATGTGTGTAATAGTCATTAAAATAGTAATTAATCATATATAATAACAAAATATATTATAATGACAAATAATATATAATAACAAAGTGGGGACAGAGACAGTCTCGAAATGAATTGGTGGAGTTTAATTTATTTGATTTTGATCAAATTTTATCTATCAGAAAGTACTATTAGCAGTAGTAGTATAACATCTTCGTTTGGATAATCACTAATAGACAGTGATATAAAATACTTACTGGGTGGATATAAATAGCGTCGTATTTCGACGACAACTCTTCCAAGTATTCAATGTTTTGGTTCTGATGTGTGCCCTCCAACATTTCATAAACCGACGGTGAATGTAAAACAAGCAACTCTTCCTTGGTTGCTGCTCTTGGTTCAAATTGCTTGCACTGCTCAATGAGCTTCAACTCGCGGCATCTGATGGCGTACATTCAAATTAAGTATGCATTTTATTTTTAATTATAAAACTGTTAGATTATTATTAACAATCTGATAAATATCTCACTTACTGTTACATTTTTTAATTTATTTTGAGGAGTTTCTGGACATATCTCCGAAGTCCATGGCTCAATTACAATGAAATTATAATGGGATCATTCGGTAGCTAAACCAAACCCAATGCAAAAAGAATTTTTAAAATAGATATAAAACACAATGAAGAAAGAAATTTTTATTTAATGGAGTTCTGAGTAGTAGTCAAGTATCTCTTTTCTAAATTAATACATTTGTGAGGAAGAAATGCTATGTTATGTTAAAATTTTGTCCTTGGTAAAATTATATACATATTTGACTCAATTGGGTGCGATTGTGGATAGTAAATGTGTGTATTGCGCGAGAGGGTGGGTTTTGATGCCCAATACTAAAAAATTCCCACTGCTGAGTGATGTTTTCCATAGTGTCATAGGACAATAGTGTTTTCTGGGGTCTGGGTGTTCATATATCTAATAGATATCATGTTGTCAGTTTCATAGTACAAGCTTAGTTTGGTGCTAATGTTGTGTAAAGCTGTCCTGCAATAATATTTTATGTAACTTACCGATCAAGGACACTTATAAGCCTTTCTGGACATTCTGGATAGTTGTCATCCCAAAGACACCTGTGCTCAGCCATACGAGGTTCAGTCACAAAACCAGTAGGCCCCTTGACCTTCATCTTGGACTCCATTGCCTGTTTATTTGAATAAGTAAAGTAAAATGTGATAGGGACTAATCAGAGATATTGATAAATTATTATTCTATATTTTTTAAATGAGGAATGCAAAGAACAATTTCAAATAATTAATGAGGAAGAGGAGAGGAAGACATATCTCAGGTTTTTCACTAAGTTACCAACTAACATGGTGATACATTTGTCACTCGGCACGAATAAATCTCAGACAGTTGTTTTTCACACATAATAATTCCAAAATCGGAATCTTAAGTTGCAATTTTAGACAATTAGGTTGATTTTCAGAAAGAATTTTATAATAATCTGTAGACCATGAATAATAAACAATTGTAAGTTTTGGGTTTTATAAAAAGCTTTGCTAATTGCTAGAATTTTAATGCAAATTTAAACTTACAACTTGATATTGATCCCTTATTACAGTGTCAACAATTTGTTTCTTTTTCTGCAGTGCCTTTTTCTTAGCAGCCACTACTGATGCTGATGGCTATAAAGTCAAATGAAATTAGTTTTATTGCACCTTCTATCTATGTAAACATGATAATGTTGATAACAATCCATGAATTCTTCATTTAAAATTGTACCTTTTGTTGGATATTATACAGTTGTATTTATGCATTCCACTAAACATACTATATTATTTTGTTGCCATCCATATTTATTTTATAAAGATATATCAGAGATGCTCAAACATTTTAAAATATTTATATGTTTACAAATCTTGAATACAAGATTTGGTAAAAGAATTTGAAAATATGATACAGATAATAATATCATAAGGTACATAGTTTGTTAATTTAAAATAACATGTAAAAAATATATATAGAGCCGTGATAGCTCAGTGTCCGGGCGTTCGCCTTTAATTCAATATACTCGAGCAACCTGAGTTCGATCCCCGGTGCCGGCACCAATGAAGTTTTTAACTTTAAGTGCTGACTTATCACATGCTCCGCGGTGAAGGAAAACATCGTGAGGAAACCTGCATATTTTCGAAATAATAACAAAAAAATATTTCTAAGATATGTAAAGTCCGCAAATCCGTCCCTTTTCCCAGCAGCGGGACATGTATAGGCTGTTACTTGACTTTACTTTATGTAAAAAATAAAATCAATCCTGTGGGCTATTACTATTTTTTTGAGTAAAACTATAAAGTAAATTGTAAACATAAGTAAGTGTCAATTATACCTTAGCAGAAGCAGACATTGCTCTTGTTTGAATCTTTGCCTTTCGAGCTCCATTTCTGGTCACTATAGTTGAAGGCGGTGTGGCTTTTTTAATGTCCCCGGCTGAACGACGATGCTGTTGCGGTGGAGGTGGGGTAGACTAAATGCAAAAATAAAACTATTAACTCTGAATGTAGTATAAAAGACAACATTTAAAATCATGAAGTCTAACCATTGTTTTTATGGGTTAATTGTGATCAGCGTAAATTGTCATTGAGTTATGTTATAACATAATACTGTTAGTTATAGTTTGATTATATTCTTCATTATTTTAATGTGGCAGTTCGAAAAGAATTGTATTCCTTGCTTATCCTAATTCCTTTTGGGTGGTGATGACTTTTGATTTGACAATTTGACATTTGACAAACGTGATAGTGACAGTTTTATATTTTGATAGCTTGAATTGATTTTTTTTTTCTTTTTGGCTTTTATGGCCCGGTATCAAATACTTTTAGGCCAAGTCTTAATCTATATGACCATAGCTTCAATTTATTTATTCGGTTATTATAGTTTCTTGAAAGTATTTTTAATATATTTGTAGATTAGGCGGCGGGAGGTATTACTCGAATTGAAATTATGGAGTACAGATAACGGGTAATATTTCAAAAATAAACGAAACCAATAAAACATCGAATATTGATATACTTTGATTAAAAATATATCGATATTTATAATACCTTTATTTCTATTTCTACCCTATTTCCAATCTGTCAATGTGACAATAGAGTCAACACCATTTCATTCGCAAATTTCATTTAATTGCATAGACCATTTATTAGGTTTGTGTAATAAATTTGTTTGTTATATATAAGTTTTGAGAATATTTTGTAATTAGTGTAAACAAAACATACTTTTTATATAATAAGATATCCTGAATATACTATAAAGTTCCACTTTGTTGTCTAGTTCTGGTAAGATTATATTTTAATCCCTTTCTAATGATTGTATGCCATCGAAAAGAATAAATCTAATAGAAGTAGTTGACCTTAATCCAAACCACGAAAGAGATCTCTTTTCTGTTTCTATATGCTAGGTCTCGTTTCGTAAACACTAGGCTTTAAGACAATTTGGTGTCTTTTTCCTGTACATTTTTGTGGTACATTGCAACTAATAAAGTTTTTATTAATATTAAATAATTGTTATTGATTTTTCAAAAATCCATTACGTATTTATTAACATACCGCTTATTATATAACCAATAACAAACAAATCTTTAACATTTAAGTCAATTGTAAGCACTATCACCAGTGGAATAAAAGAAATGTATTAAAAACCCTTAAAAGTAATGAATTTCAAAATATTTCTTTATCAACAGGTGCTGACTGTGATAATGAAGCTGTTAAAACCATTATCACTTTTGAGGCATGGCAGGCGGAGACAAGGTTCACAGGGTGTTAGCACATGGTCACCTCTTGCTACTGCTTTTAATACTAGACCAAACTCAAGACCCATGTTTGAGACTTTACGCGAAAGAACTGTAAGACATGTTTAAACCTTTCAAGTATTATTATATACATAGTGAAATGTTTTGGTTGTAAATAGTATAGATAATAGATAATTTATTTTACTGCTTTGAAATCATATGACCTTACTAAAAATTATTATTTTCAGGGCCTCTTTAACAAACCAGAATTGATTAGCTTTGAAGGTTTTCATGCACTTAAGGAGCAGGCTATAGCGGCTACTGATAGGCTAATTGAGGAGGCAACATCAAGCCCTACTAGACCCATGGTTGAAATTTTCGATGAGCTTTCTGATACCCTATGCAAAGTAGCAGATTTAGCCGAATTCGTCAGAATTGCTCATCCACAACCACATTTTGCAAGCGCTGCTGAAGATGCCTGTATAAGTATCAGTGGAGTAGTTGAAAAGTAAGATATACTTCTCACCCATTTTGATATATACTTCTAACACCATGTTTCCAGAGTTCATGATAAACTTTTATGCCATTACAATGTGAATTTTTCAAGCGGGTCTAATACAGTTAATTTTTTTCCTTATAAATAAAAGGATTTGTTTCATGTTCATGAATTTTGATTTTTTAAAAATAAATTGGATTTTTACATTAAAATCGGAAAGGGAATAAAATAATGGTGGCAGAAGGCCACAATATTTGTAAACAATTTTTTATAAATAATAAACACATTTGTGGCCACCCAACAAAGCTTTGTAAAGTGGTATCAAATTATCAGTTAGTAGTTACAAAGCCAGATATACAGTTTTGGAATTTGTCAATGTGACAGAAATCCATGCTTCATGTAACCTGGATAATCATATGAGAAGCAACAAATCAAAATTTTGTGAATAAATGCAACCTGTTCAATAGTAATGAATCTATGGGATCTATGTCACTATGACTTAGGCAGAGGATGACCAAGAGTCTAATTCTTTCTTACAGGTTAAATACTCACAAGGGTCTCTATGAAGCCTTGCGCGATTCAGTAAAACGTGGTACATCTGGTGACCAACATCTAGCAGAATTATTCCTATTTGACTTTGAGCAGAGTGGTATACAACTAGAGGATGGGCCAAGGAAGAGAGTGGTAGCATTGAACGACCTTATACTGCAAACAGGGCAACGGTTTATGGCTGGTGCGGCAAAGCCCAGAAGAGTGCCACGGTCACTGGTCCCCCAGAACGTTAGACAGTTGTAAGTCTACTTCATTACTGTCTTAGATATTTGGTTGATTTGACAAATCTGATAAATATTGATTATGGTTTTTTTAAAGTAAGTTTAACAACTCTACCAGAAGTTTTTAATTTAATGTAACATACAAGGACCAGGAAATATTAAGTATTCTATTGATCTAGTGTGGCAAGAGCAATAGGCAAGGGGTTTGTAATGTAGCGATCTGTACAGTTTCAGTACAGAGGGCGAGAGTGTCATTGTGAGTGGTGTGTATGCAGAGTGCGGAGAGGCGGCAGCGCGGGAGGCCGCATACCGACTGTACCTGGCCCCTGACCCTCACCAGGAGCGTCTGCTGTCCACCGCGCTGCAGGCTCGCCACGAAATGGCATCGATTTGCGGCTTCCAGTGCTATGCTGACAGGTATGGTGTGATAGTTCAATTTATAGCAACAATAGTGAATTTATGTTAACAATATACTCCTATAATTATGTAAATTCTTGAGAATGTTCAAAAAAGGAATGAAGCAAAGAGTGAAATTAGAGTTCTTGTGGTATAAAATTAATAAAAATCAGTAATTGAATTTACCCTTGAATGTTAAAATGTGGAATGTTATATTTTGTACTGGTGCTTGTTGCATTTCAAAACCTGTTGATTTAAAGGTATTTTGTTAAAAGTAAAGTAACTAACATTTTTCTTTTACAATAACCCTGTTCAATCTGGATACTGTTTGGTGGTAGCAATTCCTAACAGCCTCTTTAGAATAACTATTTGCAGGGCAATTAAAGCCAGCACGATGGAGACCGCTGCCAACGTGCGACAGTTCCTCGACATCCTCTCTGACAACCTTTATGACAGAGCGAAGATGGACTTTGAGTCAATGCTGAAGATGAAGAAGCTTGAAACTCCTTACCAGAACGACCTAATGTGCTGGGATACGCCTTACTTCACTCACAAAGCGAAGACACAGTTGCTCAACGTGGCTAATTCAGACTTCAGCCCGTATTTCTCATTGGGCGGATGCATGGAGGGTTTGAACATGTTGTGCCAAGAGCTATATGGCATTACATTGAAGTCTGAAGAAATGTTGCCAGGTAACTAAAATTTACTTCAAACATTTGAACATATTCAATAGAGATGTACATGTTATAGACATATAACTCAGTATATACATAGTTCGGAATCAGATGGTGAGCCTTAACGTCATACACAAAACATAACTATGTCATTATTTATACACTTTACTGGTATTAGATTAGAATCTGCAACCTATTAGTATGAACATAAATCTAGTGACCCTGGATCGGATCCAGTCACTGAGCCATTAAACACTTATTTTAAGGAAATTTATATTAAACTATTCTAATTTATAAGTTAAAAGAAAGTTTAAAGTAAAAGTTTAGATTTATTATTATCAATTTTATTTATTTCCTAACATGCAGATTGTTTTTTTTTTTCGTTTTGTTGGTAACACTGATCTTATTTTTCCCAACTTTTAAGGAGAATCTTGGTCACCTGATGTGTACAAATTGGCGGTGGTCCATGAGACTGAAGGTCTACTGGGTCACATATATTGCGACTTGTACGAGCGGCCCGGAAAGCCGCACCAGGACTGCCATTTCACCATCCAAGGCGGCAAACTGCTACCCGATGGCACCTATCAGGTGAGTCTTATTTTAAACTAGCGGCTTATTATCATTATTTATTATTATACATATAAACCTTCCTCTTGAATCACTTTATCTAGTAAAAGAAACTGCATCAAGATCCGTTGCGTAGTCTTAAAGATCTAAGAATACATAGGGACAGACAGACAGCGGGACGAATTTTTTTTACAATATCTTGTAAATAAATACTTAGAAACATTTGATTCGATCATAAGAATGTTTAATACGAGAAAGTTATTATTGCCGAAAATAAAACTGGACGGAATGAGCGAAATATAAATTTTGCACCCAATCTATCTCTATAATGAGAAACACTATTGTGTTTTGTGCACTTTATAACTGCTAATTGTGATCTTTTTGGGAATGAGTTTAGATATTATAAATACCAAATAGATTTTCTTTAGGTGGACACTGATTATAACAAAATTTGTATCGCATTTTGTATTTGGTTTAAACGAGTTTCAGTCGAACTCCGGATTTCAGTTGCATTGCCACCTTTTAATGAAGTGGGGCCCGGTTACCTCGCTCACCTTACTAAACTCAGAAGTATAATGCTTCTACTTTCCGCTGGTCTTCTGTGAGGACCTGCCCATTCGTGCTACAGCGAAGACTGTTGCACGGCCCTACCACTTTTTTTAAGACGAGAACAAATAGTTTCACCGAGTGTTTGTGTTTACCATCTAAGGCTGCATTACTTATTGTAAAGGTACCCAAGCACATGCCAGTTAGCAAAACGCTAAATTTAATTGAACAGCTACATTCGACGTCGAAATCTGTCCGTTTTACCGGCCAACTAATCGCGGGCAGTTGCCTCCAATCCAAGCTGCCTGCAGCAGCGTTATAAACTGTTCAAAAAAATCTCCTAAAGTTATTCCATTGTGTCAAACCTTGTGTGTGGTTTGCATTTATCGGTGGTAGGGCCACGCAACAGTCTTCGCTTCTTGCAGGAAAGGGCAGGTCACCGACGTGAAGTGGAAATGTTACACTTCTGCGTTTCGTCCGTCCGGTGAGTGAGGTAACCGGGGCTCACTTTTACGGGTGTTACAAATGTCCACGGGCGGCGGTGGTCACCTGCAACCCTCTCGCATTTAAATATTGCCGTGGTGAGCAGAACCCGATCGTGGTGATAATGCTCTCGCTGAGCGGCGGGCACCGTTCGGGGCCGGCGCTGCTGCCGGCGGGCGCGGTGGACAACCTGTTCCACGAGGCGGGCCACGCGCTGCACTCGATGCTGGGCCGCGCGCGCCACCAGCACGTGGCGGGCACCAGGTGCGCCACCGACCTGGCCGAGGTGCCCAGCGTGCTGCTCGAGTACTTCGCCTCCTGCCCACGGGTGAGCGGCCGTCAGACTTGCGACGTCGGGAAACGTTACGACGTATCGATATTTTCAGCCGATATCACCAACATCGTCATATCAGCCTGTTCGAGTCCACTGCTGAACATAGGCCTCCCCCACAGACTGCCACGAAGCACGATCCTGAGCCACCCGCATCCATCGACTTCCCGCACATTTGCACAGGTCGTCACTCCGTCTAGTGGGTGGTCGTCCCACACTGCGATGGCCAGTACGCGGCTGCCACTCGAGAACCTTTCTTCCCCAGCGATTATCAGCCGATATATCTATATAAAATGTCGAAAATGGCCACGAAAACGATATTTTTTTAAAATTCGGCGTGAAATATTTATTGATAATATCGATATATTTATTTCGGACAACCCTTTGCTGAACAAAGACGTCCCCCACATACTGTAGACCCCTCGACGGATTATCGCCCCATCCCGCACAAAACATAGCCTCCCCCCATCCGCACAGACTGCAGTGACCCATGTAAGCTATTATCCTCTAACCAGCGTGCAAGCGTTCTGAAAGGACAGTTTTGGATGACCTGGCAGTGGTACACGATGCTGGTCAGAGGGGCAGTGGGGGTACTAGGTAACATTTTAGCAATGCGAAGTTCCAGGAGGCTTTATGTGTTGTTGATGTCTTTGGTTGATCAGTAATACATGTTGGGATTCAAAATTGTGAATAATACATTTTTTTAAATAATTATGACTACTTTCAGGTCGTGCGTCGCTTCGCGCGCCACTTCCAGACCAGGGAGCCAATGCCCGAGGACATGCTGCAACGGCTCTGTGCGTCCAAACACTTGTTTGGGGCCAGTGAAATGCAACTACAGGTGGGCGAAATAAATATGACACCGTTTAATTATCATGAAAAATATCTTTTATTGTGGACCTGTGGTTAAGAATGTTCCACCGCTGTGAAACAGCATGAAATGGTAGAATTATAACTACTGCATTTAGTCTGGTTAGTGAGACAACTAGAGCCCGCTTTTAAAAGGTCATCTTATCATATTTATCTTTCAATTTGAATTTATTCTGTAACACCTTTTACTGTACTAAATTTTGATATAAACTATGAAATAATAAAACTTATATAAAACAATACCTTCGTAAGGGGGAGGCCTATGTTCAACAGTGAATGTCTTGCGGCCGATGCCGATGAAAACAATATATGTTCTCTCCAATATCCCTATATGTTATACTAGCTTTTCGCCCGCGGCTTCGCTCGCGTTGAAGTCCTTAAATAAATATCTTTCTTTAAAAACTATATATACATATATATTTTTAAAGATTTTTTTTTCCAATTAAAAATAGCCTATGTCCTCTCTCAGGCTCTAGACTATCTGTGTACCAAATTTCATTTAAATCGGTTTAGTAGTTTTGGCGTGAAAGCGAGACAGACAGACAGAGTTACTTTCGCATTTATAATAATAGTATGGATTTGAACACAGGCAATTGGCATAAGGGCAACATCTGCCCGCCACCATCTTTATTATACACATACCGCATACCTTGGCTTATTGATTATTTAGAACAACATTACCACTAATGAATTGAATTAATTACCACTAATGCATTTAACTTAATTCCACCTTCTCCAGGTGTTCTACTCCGCTCTCGATCAGAAGTACCACGGGCCAGACGCCAGGCTGGGCGGCTGCACCACGGACGCCCTGAGGCGAGTGCAGAAACAGTACTACGGGTTGCCTTATGTCGAGAACACGGTACGGCATATTTCGGGGTTGCAATCATTATTTTGAGGTGTAATGTCGAATACTTTTACCAAACTTTTTCATAACTTGTTCATATGCATTGTATTACTATTAGGGATGTGTTGAAACTAGAGGATAGCCATGTGCTTAATCGTATGAAGCTTCACACATTTATTAGATTGAACAAGTAGTTAGTAAAAGTAGTTTCCTTCAAAATTCTATATTAAAAATATACTTATATGTCACAACTTAAATATTATACATTGAATTCAAAAGACCAACCACTCAAATAAACTGGTAAATTAATTACCATCACATAGTCATTTACTATCTCTAACTAAACTCTTACATTCAAATGGTGTGATATGAAATTTAAAATTATATTTTTTTTATTTTCACAAGCAAATTCACTTGTGTAATTGAGACGTGCAGCGGTTTCATGTTAAATAATCCATTCATGACGTTCCAGCCTAAAGTAGAAAGTAAAGGGCTATACGGTGGATTAGCGTGCAGTTAAAGGTTTTCGTATTTTTGATAAATTGTCGAAAAATTTTCGGCGCCGTCAAGATTAGAACGAGTCTGGGCAGCTCTGAAGATTTACTACTTAGTCCAAAAGCAACTAACTTTAAAGTCAAGTTATTTGTTGTATTCAATACAGGTTTGCTTTTAGCAAGCTCTCCACATTCACTTTCTTTATTGTATTTTAGCAATGCCATCTAGCATGCGTACTCTACAGCATGCCGACACTTTTCAACTAACATTTTTGCAATGAATATTTGAAATAGATACGCCATCACGTGAATGAAACAAACCAAGTGTGGGTACCATCTAATATATAAAATTCTCGTGTCACGGTGTTTGTAATTGAACTCCTCCGAAAGGGCTCGACCGATTTTCGTGAAATTTTTTGTGCATATCGGCCATGGTGGAGAATCGGACATCTATTTTTAATCCCCCTAAATATTAAGGGTGGTCCACCCCAATCATTTTTTGCTCCCTACAAATAATTTATATGGCAAAACAACGTTTGCCGGGTCCGCTAGTTATCTATAAAAACGCTCCACTTAAATATTTTTTTATTCTATTTTTTCGTGTTTGTTTACTTATTTTTTTATACCGGTAATAGAAATACATAATCCGTGAAAATAACTGTCTAACCATCACGGTTCAAAGGTCCAGACACACATACGGCTATACGGCTGTAACTGTACCTATCTGGTACAGATAGGTACAGTTACAGCCTGTACCTACTACTGGTACAGTACTGTACCTATCTGTACCAGATAGGTACAGATACAGCCTGGTCACAGATATACAGCGGAGTCTTGGTAATGGGTTTTTCACACTTTGGATTGCGGAGCCCTAATAATCACCTCGCCGCTGTCGCAGGCGTGGCAGCACCGCTTCAGCCACCTGGTGGGCTACGGCGCCAAGTACTACTCGTACCTGATCTCGCGCGCCGTCGCCTGGAGCGTGTGGAGCCGCGAGTTCGCCGCGCAGCCGCTGCGCCGGGCGGCGGGCGGCCGGCTGCGGCACGCGCTGCTGCGCCACGGCGGCGCCAGACCTCCCCAGGTGACTGTCTGTCTTTTCACGCGTCAGACGCTCCGCCGCCGTTGCGGGTTGCCGTTGCACGAGTGCGCAGGTCCGTCCGGGCGAGTGACACTACCTCACAGAAGACCGGCGTGGAATCTCTCTTTTATGTGAAAAGTTGCCAAGCGAGCGGCGGGCGGTTCCCCTGACGTTAAGTGAATACCGCCGCCCGTGGACATCTGCATTGGACAACCTTTTGAAAATTGGGCTCCGGCCACCTCACTCGCCAGACGACTCGCGAAAGTATTATACTTACTTCCACTTGACGCCGGTCTCCTGTGAGGTCGTGGTACTTACCCGGACGGGCCTGCCCATTCGTGCGACAGCCGAGGCTGCTGCGTGGCCCTACCACCGAAGTGGAAATGTAACACTGTTGCGTTTTGTGTGGTGAGCGAGGTGGCCAATCAGCAGTGGGCCGCGTGCTGGACTATGCCCTGATACCGTCTGTGTAGAGGAGGCCTTTGCCCAGCAGTGGGACATGTATAGGCTGTAATTTTTATTTATTTATTTATATATTTATTGTACACAAAACACAGGATACAAAAAAAAATAATAAAAAGAAAATAATGTACAAAAGGTAAGCTTAACTCAATTAGTGAGTTCTCTGCCAGCTAACCTGGTGAGAAAATAGGTGATTGAAGATAGCTCTTACTTACTTACTTGGTACTTTATGTAAGATGTCAAGTGGGCCAGTACACCTGATGTCAAGTGACAACCGACGCCCACGGACGTTTGCAACAGCCGTAGCGTTGCAAATCCAAAGATATATACTCAGATCCATTGCCACCTTTTAATAAAGTGGACACCGGGTACTTCATTCATGAGAAACTTTAAAGTATAACTCTTCCATTTCAAACCGCTCTTCTGTGGGGCTGTGGTACTTCCATGGACGAGCCACAAAAAAACTAACCTGATGTAAGCAAAAAGTTGTTAATGTTGAACTAAATGTATTATTCGTTTGTGCCTTGGTGATACTTGTATTTTATTGGTAAGACATGACGGAAATACAAATTTACTAAACACCTCTAGGGCTCACTGCCCTTCACAATGTGAGGCACTTTACTACTGTCCATTGAGGCATCCTCATTATTTTCTGCTCGCTTTTTATTTCTTTGAACCTACCAATAGTTATAATAGCTTCTGAATATGTTGTACTAATTCAGAATTTCTTATTTTTTGTTTTCTAGAATTGAATATTAGTTTGAGCCTTTTGTATAATTATTTTCAGACACAATACATAGTTTCAAATTAACAAACAAAATATTTTTATTATTTGCCTTATCTAATGAATATTTCGTCATTGCAGGAACTCCTTCGCGACTACTTAGATATGGAGATCACACCGAACGCCCTCGCAATGGCTTTGACGGAGGAGCTGGACTATCACAAAGAGAATCTTGATAGGGTTTTTAAAATCTCCGAGAAATAAGAAATACGGATAATGTGAATGTGACTGACCTCTGAATGTCTTATTACTTCATCGATTACGATTACCGGAGTTGTTATGGCAACGTCTACGTATATCCTACACTTCCGATATTCAAAAAGCTAACATAAAAATATTGAACAGACGTAGGACTATTGCCTGTCGGCTCAATTGATTCGGTGAGACTCGGAATGGTGTCAGTTTTTACCACGCCGTATCATTGTAAATATTTCGTGGGTAAATAAAATCTTTATTTATAGGATAAATGTACAAAAAATCTCACACATGTTTAAATCTCTTCTTGTGCTGTTCTAATTAAATAGTTCTCTATTGTTTAAGATAAACTTTTCTAACTTGCCATCTTTTTATTCTGAACTATGATGTTTCAAATTGTTTGTGTATCCCACGGACTAGTAAAATAAGTCCTTTTATCCCTGACGCAACACATAAAGAAAGTGAAGCATAGTAAGTAACCCATATGTTATAAATGTTGTCAGGAAGTAATATTTCAAAAAACATTTTATTGTGTTCTTTGTAATTATTTGCAAGTATTGATTAAGATTGAAAACCTCTGTACAGAGGAGGCCTTGGCGCAGCAGTGGTATGTACAGGCTGTTGTTACTTTACTTTTATTGATTAAGATGGGTTTTCTACAGCAAATCAATCATAGAATAAGGATTGGGTAAGTTATAAGGTGCCCAGGTAAAGACCACTAGATTCTATCAAAACGAAGTGTGGTATGTAGCATAAATTTTGATGCAGACAATTTGTGTATACTACGAAAACAGGACTCCGTCGAGTCGTAACTTATGCAGTTACAAAAAGAGAAAAATAATATGATTTATTTTGTCACTTGTACATCCATAAATAAATTTTTAAATTTTAAACATTGTATCATTTCAAATAATGTAATGTTCTTGTACAATTTTATTATAATGAAGGAATAAATTGACAAAATCTTAAGAAAAAATACAAAGTTTTCATTCATCAGGTATCCTTCATATCACTCATACACAGATTATATTTATGCTGACTCAATATTCGTAGTGGCAAGACTTTTTATTTTACTAGGCCGTAGTGTGCCCTATAAAATTATCGTAATTACTTTATTCAAGATTTTAAATTATGTTATGTTGCTTAGTATTATTGTAAATGTATTATTAATTAGTGCAATAAATGATAAATAAAAGAACAGTTGAAAATTATAAATAGTTTTAATTGGTGATCCCTCATGAAACTGGAAATATCTTACCTTTACATCAAAACACATGTAATTATACAACTATTATAAAAACATTATTCCAAACGTTAGACACGGAGGCACGGTTATGGGGAGGTTATGTACTTCATGGTTAGGTGTATTAGTTTTGGCCGACGATATCAGTTTCATTACGATATTCTTGTAAGATAAATTTGCACTCACGTCTAGGTCTCATTTGTTGTGATTATTTTATGAATATGCAACCAAAAAACATTTCTTCCTCGATTTACTTTTCAATATTAAAAAATGGGAAAACAATTATTATCAAATTAACCTAACCTTAAATACGCAACTTTTTATTTTATAAAACTTTATAATGAAAGTTAAACATTAACAATTATTATCAGACGCGTGGCGGTTTTTACTGTAAGTAATCTAATAACGCAATCTTTTCATCCAGAGACCGTTTCAAAAGAGGATCATCAATTGTCTAATATCACACGTTACCTTTCTATAGTGTGGTTATAATTAGGGCTTTCGATAATTATTATAATATGTATAAAGCGGGACCTTACTCGGACCAGTGGGGAGGAAACTTCTAACTCTTTCTACTCTCAATGTTAAAATACCTGTTGCGAGGCAAAGGCGCATTTTGAAGAGAAATTCAATAATTCTTGATTGAATAGACTCGCTGCTTGCTCACCGATTGGCTCAGAACATAGTTGATTGCACACAATCACAGTTTCGTTATTCACACACTATTGCAGACCACGTTAGTTGCACGAATGAGTTTATGACGTAGAGCGCTGAAAGGGCAGAGCGCACTCGAAGTGGAGTCAGGCAAGCGGTTCCATCATTATGCCACATAGTTGTACTGGTTCGGATTGTCCTTATCGCGCTCCATGTAGTCTCTGTCGATGAGCGACTCTATGCGCTTCTTAAGATCGGCGGGCTGCAATAAAATGGATGCATTCCTCATTATTAGTTTACTTTTAAAGTCAATAAAATTATCAGTCGCCCTCAGAGACGTAAACTAAGACCACAATACAAATTAAATTCATTCTTGAAAGAGGTTCTGTCTTAAAAACTTGTTACTTGTTTTTCAGTTGATAACTTAACTAATTTAACATCATTTAAATGGGTGGTATTGTGTAATTGAGATCTCGTATAATGAGAACAAATCTAATGCGCAAGTTATTCTTAGTGTCTACTAAACTAATAAAATGAATAATTATGTTCAATTACTGAATATAAATACATTTGTGGCCATAAAAATGGTTAAGTTAACCCTTTTAATGGCCACAAATGTTGCAAAGTATTGATTATGATTAAATTAATATTTAAATCGCCATACCTTTACGGGGAACTTGAGCTGGTTGTAGAGCTCCGAGATGAGCAGGTTGTGCGAGAGCGCTTTACGCATCTTCATGACGCGCACGATGGCCGCGTCGATCTGGTACTGCCGGTCCTGGAACACTCGCTCCTCCGTCGCCTTTTGCTCCTCGCTCTGCAAACATAAGAAATTAATATTTATATATTGAAGTGAAACTTCTAATGCGACTTCCGGTTGCGTTAAACGTTTAATGCTACCTGTTATGAACGCAACCGTTCATACCCAGGAATGGAACGTGTTCACCGGAAACAGCCGAGGCAACATTATACGGGGCAGAGAGATGACTGGGACCTTTTAAAATAGTAACGGACTACTCACTCCTTTCCTTTTTATCGTACATAAAGATTTTGTAGCAAAGGACTTTTTTATCATTTACTGGCGCCTACATACATCTTTTAAACACCTGAGAAGAAACACTACCATGGAGGGGGTATGAAAGCACTGTCGCGTCAAACGTACAACGCTTCTGGGGAGGGAAGAGACAGAGAGGAGGGACTCCACGCAATTTTTTCATTTATTTCAGGAATTCTTGGTATATCATATAAAGTTCAATCAATTTTGGTTGCATTATTACAACGACTGCTGGCTATAGCGTTGAAAGACGAAAAGTTGAACTCACGGTCTCTTTCATCTGTATCTGGTTGATCTTGATGCGGAACAGCTTGTTGGTGAATTCGGCGTTGAAGGCGAAGTGGTCCGCGTCGCGCACCTCCCTGCCGCGTGGCGCCTTGCTCAGCACGCGCGCCTTTCCGCACGCCAGCGACTGCAGAGTGCGCCGCAGCTCGCCTTCCTGCAAAGTTACTAACGTTAATCGCCTTACTGCGAAGTTACAAACGTAAATTGTCTTTCTGCAAAGTTAATAACGTTAATAACCTTTATGCAAAGTTATTTACGCCTTCCCGCATAGTTAGTAACTTTAATTAATTGCCTTCCTGCATAGTAACTAACGTTAATCACCTTCCTGCATGTTCATAACCGATAGTATAATAACACAAATTTCTGTTATGTTCACAACCAACTAGGAGTGACGGTGTGATCACTCATGAATCGCCACAACTAATCATGAAAACTATCTTCAATTTACCGTCCGAAATAAAGATACGTAAACGAATTTGGGTGGCTCACCTCAATATTGGTTGCAGTCTTGATCTCTTCGAAGGAGAGGTTATCGCCGTCGTTGAACAATAGCAGAACGAGCGCTTGAAACAGCGACACCTGTAATTCTTTGTTACCCTGGAAAGTGTAATTTAAAATGATTACAATTTTGTTTAAGTTAACTAGCCAACCTTCAACTCGGTAATTTCACTGTCAGTACTGTTGATTTGTTGCAACCAAGAAGCTTACAAAGGGGTTGGAGGGACATAATTATGTTCATGTGGATAAATAATATAGATTTTTTTTAATACTTTTAGCCATAGGTTCCAAGATTATTTTTCTACTATTAACAAAATGTCAAACTAAACAGGATTCTTTATATTGCCAGAATTTTTTAATGTGAAATATGCATATTTTACTAAAATCCATCCAATTCGTATTTTTACTGTGGTACACATTGGACTATAGTAGGGCGCAGGCAGCAATTTTTGCTGTTGCATGAATGGGCAGGTCCATCCGTAAAAGTATCTCAGAAAGAAGAGAGAACAGAGAGAACAACCTCTCAGAAGACTGGCAAAGAGTTATACCTCTGCGTTTCGTCTGGTGAGTTAGGTGACCCGGGTCCAGTTTACTATATACTACAGGTTTACTATCTGTCTGCTACAGATGCTGGAAATGTCGATGGGCGGCGGTTATCACTTGAAATCAGGTGAACAGCCAGCTTGCTATCAAGAGATTCTAAAGAGATTTGAGAAGTGTCTATAGATTCTGTCTGATGAAATCGAACATGGTCGTTAAGACTTAAACGAGTAAAGACAGCTTTCCAAATAAGCAATGGAGATTTTAAGAGAGGGGATAAGATTTGTCTTTCATCGGTGCATAGTGGAAAGTTCAAATAAGGCATTAAACTTTATTTAAAGGCCCACTTTATTTAAAGGTGGCAACGTATTTGCAACCGTGGGGTAACAGCGGTTTAGCCACTTAACATCAGGTGGCCCGTCAGCTCGTTTGCCAATTTCTCACGTGAAAAGAAAAAAAACCTGTGCAAAGTGGGCGCGCAACACGCAGTGGCCGAGCGTGGCCTGCCACTGCAGCTTCCGGCCCGAGTGCTTGGCCAGGTAGAACTTGGCGAAGTGGTCCTGGTGGCGGGTGAGCTCCGCCGGCAGCCGCACCTCGGCCACAGGGTACGTGGGCCAGAAGCCCATCGTCAGGATGTACACGGACAGCTCCAGCCCGCCGCACTCCTGGCTGGCGGCCAAGTGCTGCGGGTTTTAATGTTCAATGTACAGCATTTGCACTAATGATTAGGTCAGCTCTTCTAATGTTAACCTCCTTTGAAATATGCATTTTTATGTTTACTGTATAGCGTTTTTAGTTACTCAAGCCAATGTTACATTTTTATGAAAAATGTTTATTACACTACTTCTACCACTTTGGCCACCTTTTATATGAATAATCAATATCACTGATTGAATTAAAAGAACATGATTGTATTCTTCTTTTTTAGTATTTAGAAACAATTACATTGAAATTTAAATTTATTCAATTTTTTCTCTAGTTTGATTCCATCACAGTCAAGAAACTGTTTTCCTTGTTGAATAAGTGATTATTTTATAAAAAATATACATAGTATAGACCCAGCTTGTACATGATGTTGTTCATATTCATAACTCCTCCGGTGAAATGACACTATACATAACTGGAAGAGTGATTTGAAAATGAAGTAGGTATTATTTTAATTTTATTGTAAATTTATACAATACTAATTTTGTGTTTAACCATTTAAATTGTATTTTTTTTTCGCGTAAATTATTATTATTAGCACAATTCGTATTGTTCAGAGTAAACTAAACTTATATGCATTAGACAATTTTTATTGACTTATTTTTCTCACCTGCTTATAGGTGATGTTGATATCCTTCGAGAGCTCCATGTCCTTGAACATGCCCTCGAGCTTGCAGGTGAAGCCGCCGCCGCACTCTTGCTTCAGCTTGCTCAGCATCGACTTCTCGGCGTCCACGGATGCCGACTTGCCGACGAGCAGCCGCTTAGCTAGGTCCTTCTTGTAGAAAGCCTCGAACACGTCCTTGCCGTGGATGAAGCGGAACAGCACCATTATCTTGTCGAGCAGCCGCTCCAGCTCCTCCTCGGTGGCCTCTTTGTTGCCGGCGCGCAGTTTCAGATCCACGAATTTCGCTGAAGTGTTGAGCACATACAGAAAATGATAAGTGCGGTGAATTTAACAAAACGGGTAGGTATCAAGTCAAGTCAATTCATTTTTCACTGAAGTAACCTAATAGTTTAAAATAATAATTAAATAACCCTATATTACTACTAAAAAACATCTGTACTGAGCTTTGTATGTGTGTTTTGTGTACTTTTATTTTATTATAATAATTAAAAAAAAATTGTTTATCTATATTGTTTATATATATCTATACACAAATAATGAAACACAAGTCATATCGAATATCTAATAGAAGAAAGTCATACCGATCAGCTCAGCAGGTTTGTTCTGCCTCTGATTGATGAAGTACTCAAATGCCTCCCGCATAGAATACACAAATTTGGAGTTACGCTGGAAACAGGTGCTCACAACATGGTCTAACTGCTCCTTGAACTCTAGCAGCTCAGCTACCATGGTTTTGTCACGTTCAGGCTCTATGACTATTGTACGGCCTTTTTTCTGAAAATACCAAAACAACCCGTTTGTGGCTAATTTGTAGCACTGGCAAAGATTTTTATGGCATCTGCTATATTAATTTTTTTTACTTAATTTAGATATTATACCAATGATAAATAGCAGTATTATTATTGAACTGATATTTATCAGTACTATAATATCTAATGATACAAAATATGGTCTAGCTCTATATGACTTTTTATCGGTGGTAGGGCCACGCAGCAGCCTCGGCTGTTGCACGAATGGGCAGGCCCGTCCGGTACCACGACCTCACAGAAGACCAGCGTAAAGTGGAAGTATGACAAACACTTTCGCGTTTCATCTGGTGAGTGAGGTAGCCGGAGCCCAATTTTCAAACGGTTGTCAATACATCATTAGTATTCACTTAACATCAAGTGACCCGTCTGCTCGTGTGGCAACTTTTCGCATAAAAAAAAAATCATTTTACTAAATGTAACTGTTAATACCATTATATTCATTGTTTGTGAAAGGGGGTGAGTATTGAGATGACAGCTGATAGAGGAATGAAAGGACATGCTGTGTAGACCCCACCTTGTTTGGAACAAGGACAGGAGAAAGAAGAATATACAAATTGGTAGTATTATAATACTTAATGGCCAGCAACATTCCATTTTCATTTTACTTAAAGGATGAGGTCTAATATTTAATTTCCTAAGATACCTTTATGTATGCGTTGAAATGATTGCAGAGCTCGTTGAGGCCGTCCTTGACCTTGCTGAAGAGGTTGTACAACGTGGTAAGATCAGTCAACCGTGGGCCATCCATCAACGCTTCCAAGCCCTTGGTCAAGATACCAGACAGATGCTCACTCAGCAGCTGCCTCTCGATTGTGTGGATAAGTTGCCATCTGGAAACAATTTAAAAAATCTTTGTTAGCTTGTCCAGCTGTATTTCTATCAGTAAACAAATCTGGCTAATGTTAAATGTCACATAATGTTCATTTAGCAATTGTAATATTTTACCATACATTGACAATCAACAGTTTTCAGTTGTTTTGTGGTTACTTTCGAAGAAATATATTTCAATACTTGATTATTTAGTTGGTTTGCTTACTTAGTGGATGGATCGAGATAATGCAGCAATCGCTCATTCTCTTCCCGCAGTCTTTTCTCAACATGTGCTAGATACTGTGGTACAGAGAGCTCACGCATCAGACGCTGGCCTTCCGCCGCGTACAGACGCTCGGTTGCTTGAAGAAATCTGAAAATATATAAAAACTATTTTTTATATATTCAATTAAATAAGGCTCAATAAAATAATGTCACATTATGTGATTTTAATGTAGGTATGCTACAATTTTTTGCAGAATTTGTAACTGAAGAAGTTTTAAGGTTTAAAATAAATTTAAACGTTTTAGAGAAATAATATATTTGAGAGATTGAGGTTGTAGTTCACTAAAAATGTACATTTTTACTCATATATCGTGATTCAATATAAGATGTATTATTTTAGATCGCATGTGGTATTTGGTACGAACAATTGAAGATTTTCAACTTTGGACGTTTGAGTAATAAAATTATCATGTTTCTTTCAAATCTTACTTGTGTTCAAACGCATCCTGATATATCTGCAAGTCAGACAGCATACGGAGTAGACTTTTTAAAAGCGATATGTCGACGGAATCGCCGCCGCGTTCGCGCTCAATTAATAGCAGCAAACCATCAACAGTGCGTGTCTGCACCAACGTATTCATCGCAATATGGTGCCGAAACAAGTCTAATCCCATATCCCTGTGGTAATTATTGTAGAATATTAGTTGCTTACAAGTGGCAATACAAAGGAGATCAAATGTTTCTATTGTAAAATAGATGACAAAGGAAAATAATTTTATAGTTGCCAGTATCAAACAATTTTATTTAGATTTTGCTATAAAGTTCTCAATATTAAAAGATGGCTTTTAAAGCAAGTGTCTCATGTCTAAATTTTCAACACTAATTTTAAATGAATTTCAAAAATATATACTTTCATGTACATTAAATAATAACATTTCCAGTAAATGTATATTAAATGCAGAGTTTCAAAGCTATTCCAATTTAGAACAATGTATGAAAAATGATTGCACTTGGATAGTTCATAAATATTAATACACTATCTTTTCGCCTGCTAGTCTTCCATTTTATAACATGCTTAAAAGTTAGCCTATAGCCTCCTTAATAATGGGCTATCTAACAGTGCAAGAATTTATCAAGTCAGATCAGAAATCCCTGAGATTAGCTATTTCAAACAAATTCTTCAGTTTTATAATAGAAGTATAGATATCCTCTTATTTTTGTTATGAATACTTTCTAGTGCGGTTTAGGTCGATATCGGCCCGCTCCTTTCCCTGGTTCCTGGCTCATTTCCTTCTTAGCAGATCTAGGGGCGAATCGGGCCTAACGAAGTTGGGTTCAAAGTCATTCTAACAGTACAAAAAAATATACATCATATTTTCCCAAAGTTATAGCATTTACATCTACCCAGTGCTGGTGGGTCGAGAAAGATCCGCCACACACTGGCGGAAATATCGTTGGGTGCGCATTTCGACCCCCCACCGAACCAGTTGATGGTTTATGATTATATGGCCCGCAGCCAAGGTTATTGCATGGGCTAGATGATGTAGTTCTGAGGTCAACTTACATTGGATGTGTCAAAACTGTTCATTTTTTAACTTTATATAAATTTAAAATCATCATCATTTTACAGACCAAAATATACAGCGTGGCGTAACCGCGACAATAAATGAACACACGTCTAACGCTACTTGCTATTGATTATGATATGATTCAATTCTATATGTAGTTAGGAAGAAAATGCTATTAAATTTCAATCAAATTATTGGTTATTTTGAAAAAAATCAAATATTTATCATTTTTATTTTTTGCAAACATTTATCGTAGTGTGTTTGTTACTACTTAGTTCGTTAGTATACAACTTAAAAGAACTAAATCAACTATCTAATAAATATTTAAAAACTTACTGTAGCCCATTTATTTAAAAGTTTATGCACAAAAAAAGATATCTTGCTGTGAAATTTACATTTTTTTAATATTTTTTACAATCTGGTTCTTTAAGTCTATATACTTTTTTTATTTATGAACCAATTTAAATAAAACTAACATGTTGAGTGAACCTTACTATAATGCATTAGTGAAAGTATTTCCGAGATTAGCGCGCACAAACGCAAAGATACACAGACATAAATTTTAACAATAATTTTTTTGGATTCTAATGTGTTGATAAAGGCCTCCAATAATAAATTTTCTCAAATATCTTCCATGTACAGACAACAATCAATTACATTTTATGTATATGTATAGATTAAATAAAAATATCACATTAAGAAATTGAAAATTTTACAGTCCTTGTATAACTTTTGCAGACAATATTATTTATCCTAACTAAATTCCCTGTATTATCCAATATCATGCTAGTAATTAAACTCTATGTGTAACTTATGAAATAAAAATGACTAGGATTGATATTTACTCACCATATGGAGTGTATGCTAGGATTTTGTAAAACATAAGTTCTGTCAAGGTAAAGGAATATGCTACGAATCATGATCATTTGCCGACAGTGGGCCCTCCAGCATCCATCCATTCTCTTTAAGAATATTTGACGGTCCATACTCTCAGAAAGAAACTGTTCAATGTTGGCCTTTACATGTGCTTCCACTAAATTCGTTAAGTTGACATATAACTGTGAAGCCATCTACAAAATAAACATTCTACTTAATTATAATATATAAGCGTGCGTTGGAGTTGCATGACCTTATTCCTCCCGCCCCTTTCCATCATCGGACAACCAGGCGTACGGCGGGGCTCCACCCTTATGCTGTCGACGTTCCACGTACACAAACAAAGCGATTCGCTTCTTCATTTATCATCCGTACAGCCAAGGAATGGAATAACCTGCCGGCGTCCGTCTTTCCGTCCGATTACAAGGTAGGCGTCTTCAAGACAAGAGTGAATAGGTTTTTACTGCGCTTACCATCAACGGCTGCATCGCCACTTACCATCAGGTGGGATGGCAGTCAAGTGCAGGCCAGTTTTGAATTAAAAAAAAATATATATAGAACTTTTTTTTAATTTCAGACTTTTATTAAGTTACTTATATCTTTTTTATAACCAACCTTATGACTACACATATTTTCGACTGCCTGATAAAGTTCTTCCAAAGAGTAAGCAATTGCCTTGGATGTCTGAATTGCAATCACAGCTTCTCTTAATTTGCTCCATGTCGTCTCCTGATAGTTTTCTGGAAGGTTCGGTTTACCTAGAACAGAATACGCACTTTTACTGATACGAATGACATTAAGGTTAGACCATGATTATTAAAGACATATTCGTAAACACACTTTTAAAGTTTTTTATAACCAGTTTCTTTGTAGTTGCTCCCGGTTTGTTCATGGCCGACGACAACTTAATCGCACCATTGGAATTGGGAGTTATCAAGGAGAAGTTTGATTTCTTCTCATTGACATTCATTTCGTCTAATTTTGCTCTTTTACTGCACTGGTCGTTATTGACTTGAGAACGTTTTCTACACTGATTACCACCCTCCTCTACCACAACAGGAGTCTTAGCTAAACCCGACATAAGAAAGCATGTTACGGTCTCGTCCACAAACGTAAATAATTTGATTTAATCTATTTAATTATAAAATACAAATAAAAATAGTTATAGTCAGTCAATATTCACTAACATCACCACCATTACGAAAAGTTTACTTGTTAGGTTCATAGAGGGCGGTACAAAATGCAGAACTGTCAATCTCGCCTTATTGATTTAACATGAAGTTTGGCAAAAGTCAATTGACAAAAAATTATACAAATCAACTTTGTAAATAATTTAAATCATAAAATAAAACAAATCAATCATAAAATCAGATATTAAAGAAATATTTTTTTTTCAAATCCTTATAGAAAATAGTTATTAAGTAAGTAATTTATGTTCTAAGCAATACTTAAATACTGAAAAAGATCTTTTAATTTTTATCCATTTTTTAAATTCATATGCTTAAAAAAAGCTATGCCTAAAATATATCAGGCCATAAAATCAAGATAATAGAGGAATGATATTTACAAAATATTCATTCATATCCTCAGTATACATTTCATTTCAGTATATATGTCTTATCTATGCATATCCTTATACGGTCGTTGATGTGGATGTAATCTTTGAAACTATTTTATATTTGAAAGAGTCAATTTGTTGAGTTGCATGACAATTATGTGATGGCAATATTCTTGTTAGAACTGAAAAAAAAAATAGATCCTTTTAATATAATTATATTTAATATATATTTGTTCCATTTAAATATTGTGACCTAGACACATCAATGGCTATGACGGCTTACATATTTTTAGTTATTTCCATAGTAGTAATGTCTTCTGATATTCTTCCACTTTGGGGAAGCGAGGCCGATATAAACACTATCTTCATCCTGCATAAGAGAGCTATTCGAGCAGTTTATGAGCTGAGCCCCAAAGAATAACTGCAAAAGTAGTAGTGTAAGAAATTTCTTCAAATAAATAACTCCGACATTAAACAAAATTATTTCAAATGTTGTTTCAGCCAGTCAGCGTCTCGAAACGTCTTTGAGGCGGACCGATGCTGGCTCGATGCAGAAGACGGTCCTCCCACCACCAGCGTTTTCAATCAGTTCTTTTCAATCTTCCCCTAACCATCCGCTGTTTGCGCTCCACTGCCGATAACTTCCATCTTGCTTTTCTTTTACTTTTTTGTATTTATATTGTTATACATGTGATTACCCGGATGGTGCAGATACTAAATAGACTGGCACCGTGAGCCGTAGGTTCACATTCTCACTGGCGACATGTATATACATATAGATATAAGTATTTCATTGTAATTTATTTATATTTGTTTTGTGGTATTTATTTTGGTTTTGTAGACTCCAGGCGATTACCTAATTTGGATAATTAATAAAGAGAAATAAAATATAATTTTTCTTTAATTTATTTCACGTATTTTGTTTTGCATCTGCCTTAAATTTTCTCTACTCCCAGGCTTGACTTGAAGAGAATGCTTATTAGCATTAAGTTTGCCTTTTGTTTAGCTTTAAGTTGAGGTGTAAAAAAAATGGTCACGGGACGCCTGGCAGATGTGAAACATCAACTTTATTTTGTAAAAGTAATATGAAAAGAACAGATTGTGATAGGAACTAAATATGTCATAATGATAAAATAAAATATTACGAATTTTTTCCAGATAACGATGACTATTTATTGCATAAACATTTATTTTCATTAAATACAAAAATTTACGAATTTATTTCAAATCGTGACTAATTAATTCGTTTAATCAGTGACTTCGGTAATAGTTATATTCGATGTTGCCTCTGAGGACGGTATTACTGTGACAATTGGTCGATGGTAACTGAAGTATGTTACTAAAGTATTGGACATAACATGAAAATATGAAATATGAAATGATGTCATTTATTTTTTATTAGAAGAAATGTACACAACAATCATCATCAATTCACTTTCATCTTCTAGTTTAACGTGTGAAGCAAACATATCGCCAATAGATGTTTGGGACGCGGTCGGGACGCATGCCGTCCGCCACGTCAGAAATCGGTTTTACGTGCGGCTATAGATTTTTCACATCAAAAATTAAATAAATAAATAATATCAGCATTAATTGGGTCAACAAACTAATCAGAAATTATGAAACCATTAATTAACATTGTTTAATGTTGTATGTCGCAAAACATGTAGGCGTTGTGTTGTACACTCCATCGTCTCTAATCCAGATTAAAATAGGTGCTTTCAAGATTATTTTTACTGCGTCATAGTTTTCTCTAACATTAGAGAAATATCAAGGACCGAGTTTAAAACTCTCAAATGCATCAATAAAGCAATTTCAGTCTACAATACACACAAATACTATTTGAAATTATTTTGGAGTATTGAAATAGTAGTTGAGTATTTGAAATAGTATTTGAAATTATTTTGGAATAGATCGGGAGGTTTGGTTATTATTTTACAAAGTCAATAATCCAATTTGTGACGACCCTATTGGCGTGGGGAGTATTCTTTTCCTTTTCTTTTTCTTTTTTTAAAAACATTGTCCTTTAAGATATCATCATCCTGTGTTGTAAGGACATAAATAATTAATACCGTAATAATTAATGATAAATTTCACGTGGACAAACACCCAAACCAGATTGAACCTGCCTTTTGCGCCAAAGGGTGTGGGTTCGATCTCCACTACTGGAAACATATTGTGTGAAGAACATAGTGTCTTTTCAGGGTCTTGGTGTTTATATATGTATAGTATGCATTTATTTCCAAAAGAAAAGTACAAGCGTTAGCTTAGTTTGTGACTAGAGAACGTTGCGTAAAAATATGTCCGAAAAAATCGTGTTAAAGATCACATTTTTGACACTTAAAGAGGTGTAATGTACCCATCTAGCCAGCCCATTGTTGAAAAAGCAAAAGTTGTTACTTTGGTTCACTGTAATGTAATTTAGCGGGAGCTACCGCAGCCCATGAACTTTCACAACATCAAAGTCAATGTCATTTCCAACCGACTCCAAAAAAGAGGGAGGTTCTCAATTCGACTGTATTTTTTGTGTTTGTTACCTCAGAACTTTCGACAGAATGAACCGATTTTGATGATTCTTTTTTATTTGAAAGTTGGTGCTCGCTAGTGGTCCCATATTAATTTTATAGGTATTGGATCTTGGGCTCCGCAGATACTTAGCAAACTCTTGAAAATCAATTATAAAATGAATAATGAGCGAGGTATTTGTAGTCGGTTTTGTTTTTCGTTAATAAAAAATATGGACTTGTAAACTATATGAATGTATCTGAGAATGCAATGTCAATTTTTTGAATCTGAATTATAATCAACGAAGTTTTTTAAGGAGTTCTCAAGTGCATCCGAAGCGGGTAGATATTTTAATAGTATTTCAACGCCAATATTTCAGCGCAGTAATACCTCGCCCACTGCGGGTTTTAGCAGTTACTGCAGGCTGCAGTAAAACGAGTTATCGCGGGCTTAAAAAATGAGAAAAATTATAGCTGGAGAGATTCACAGACAATGCAGTTTTTAATTTTCTAAATAAAGTTATATATTGCGTAGAAATTACCAAAACATGTGCAATGTCTTTTCAGTCATTCTTTTTCTGAAAGTTCAGACTGAATTTTACTTTTTCAGTTTTAAAGATGTTGAATGTTTGTATTATCTCGGCGTAATTTAGAACAGTGTCTCCTAAACTTTTAAGATAATAAAAACACACAAAATCTACACGGATCCTGTCAGTTGACGTAGGGTACCATAAAATAATTTTATTTAATTCAGATTAAAAATGAAAGATTTTGCAATTTAAATAAGACCAAAAATTTTAAAAGCGTTAATGCACTCTTTAACTATGAACCCGAAGAATAAAATATTGTTTTACAGTTCAGTGTAAGTTTTCAAAAAAATTACGGTGTTCATCATCAGACGACCGAGAACCTTAAACAAATGGTATACAACGAGAATAGTAAAGGCTTCGTTACTAATCTAATTCTAAACTAATTATTTTGTTACTCCGGTATTGTCTGACGTTGTGTCAATTACCTGGTCTAAGAGGTAGTTATGAACCCAAAAAACTGCCACGTGGCTCATAAACATAGTAAAGAGCCGAGCATTATTTTGCGGTACTTACTTCATTATTAAAATATTTACCTTGCCCTTTCAGGTTTGTGCTATTTTAAAAGAAATTCGGTTGACGTTTTTTTTACCACGCATTACGCACGTATTCAGATATCAAAGTACCCGCTAATATCCAAAAAAAGCAATTTGAAAAAGTACGAATGGCACTTATGTCTTGAAAATTTTAAGTAAATGTTCATCAACATTCGTCAGCGTAAAGTACACTTAAGTGTTATTAATAAACAAAGAGGTAGCAAAACATGTTTCGTTCAAAACAATGAATTTAAATAATTAGGATCAAATTAAACGTATTGCTCTAACTAATTAAACATTTATTGTGTTCAGTACGGCAGTAGTACGGCACCTCTGTGATTTGATTTTGATTCACCCCTGTTTAGAGTGCAGGTCCCGGGGGTGGGGGCGTAACAAGTGTCGAGGGCACATGTGCGCCCGGCACCGGCTCCGGTCGTCCATTCAGTATCCATTCATTCACTGTTGGCGCCGGTTCATTTCTGTACGGGTCGCGACAGAGCGTAGGCGGGAACGCTCCGTTGACATTTCGCGCGCATTTTTAACTTTATTTTTAAAGCGGCCTCTGTCGTAAACATTTTCGTTCGGAAAAATATGCTCACGATTTAGTTTTTGTGACATAATAAAAATGGGCGAACAAACGTTTCATATCGCGGACGATAATTTGGAGCAGCACATCGTTACGTTGTTCGAAAAGTTGGAGTGCATGCGGAGGGATGCGAATGCTGATGCCGGGTTGTCGGGGAAAGTGCCGGCCAGGTTAGAAGTTCGGACTCTGTCTCTGTGGAAGGCTGTGGTGGCTGAGTGCGCGGCGTCCTTCCTTTACGTGTTCATAGTGTGCGGTGCGGCTGGTGGAGCCGGCGTGGGCGCCTCCACATCAGCCGTGCTGCTTGCAACGGCCCTGGCTTCCGGCTGTGCCATCGCAACCATTACTATGTGCTTTGCAAACATCTCCGGTGAGTAGTGGTGCACAATTTGATTGGGGGACTTATGATACTGTACTGCTAAGGACTGAAATAAAACACTTATTTGTGCAATTGAACGAGATTTTTCGTCGTAATATAAAAATTAATTTTATATGTGAGATAAGAGGAATAATATTGATTTTTTTTCTTTGTTTATTTTTCTGAAGAAAAAATGTATTACAAATTAGGTTAACACTAATTAAATCAATTGGCTGCTGTTGCTTTAAATAAAAATTAACAATTCTTGTCTTGTCCGAGAAAGATATATAAATGGATACAAATTTATATACCTACGTTCACTTAATTTGCAAACCCGTTATTCGCGAAGATGTTGCAGCTGGCTGTGCGTCGGTAAGGATATCGTTCTTCGGCGTCATCGGCATTAAAAAAAAGAACCAAAAGGCGGTCCACATACGGCCACGTGCACGATTACTAGTTATACCCTGAATATTACGGGGTTTCGATTATTTATCTTATTTGTCAAAGCGTACAGTCGGTTCACTTAAACTTTCATGCTTTCCTGTATTTATGAGATTTATTTTTATTTCAAGCGCCTTTTATTACATTTTAGGTATACAATGTTCTTCGCATATTATGTTCAATTTATGCCATTAAAATATACTTTTTTGAACGAGAGAAGGTGGCATGCTGGCAGGTGGCTCATGTGATGATAAGTGTTTATCGTCGTGTTAGGGGTGACCTTGTTATCTTACCGGTCTTCTGTGAGGCCGTGTTACTTCCCCGGTTAGACATGCCTATTCGTAAAACGGCGGAAGCTGCGGTGTGGATATACTAAATTCAAATTTCCGACGATTCGAAACCTTTTCAGAATTTATAGTCATTAATTATTGTGTAGTGTTATAAATTATATGAAAATTAGCGGACTTATAAATAAAAAAAATTAAAAAAAAATGTACTGGATTGAATTGTGATTCTAAACCATTCTCGAATCGATCTGAAGACAAAAAAATTCCTAAAAATCGGCCCAGCCGTTTAGGAGGAGTTCATATACATAGAGAACACACGCACAGCAGAAGAATTATATATTGTATAAATATGTTCCTACACTGAGCTATCGCTGCTTATTTTCGTATCCAAGTAAAAGATAAAAAAGTAAAGTAACAGCATTTATAGGTATATATATATATATATATATATATATATATATATATATATATATATATATATATATATATATATATGTTCGGCAAGCTGGGCAAAGGCCTCCTCTATACAGAGTTATTACAGCATAACAATAGCATACCACGCTGCCCCACTATAAATTGGCGGAATTCTTATTTTCCAAATTTTTATTTTTTATTACTTCGAAAATAGTCGTTTTTCACTGATGAGTCAGCACTTAACATTAACAATTTCATTTGTGCCTGCATAGGGATTTGAACCTCGGTTGATGAATTAAAAGCGAGCGTCCGGACCCTGAGCTATGACAGCTTTAATGCGGCTTTGTTTTCAAGCAATTTAACATTCTTTTCATTATAAAGAAGATTGGACTAATTTAGACGTCCTTGTATTCGGGACACCGTTGAAAGCATTGTAAATATTTAAGTAACCACAAAAAGGGATATCATAAATATATATTATAAATATAAAGGTCTCTTGATTAAAAAAAAGGTCTGGCTATAAAAGCAAATGAACTGAAGTAATTTATGAATATTCATAATTTTAAACTATAGCTATATCTTAAAAGCAATTACTACAATTTAAATCTAGCGTACTTTGTATACTTGAGAAGTTGTAAAACTGTACGTAGGTACCTACATATATTTTTATCTTTCGCTTAAGTTCTCAACGCCTCATTATATCGATTTCTAGTGCGGTGTTAACCTTGTAATTAAGCTCCTGTTGCTTTAGTGTTGCGGTTGATGCGAATTTTTTACAGAGCGTCTCGGATCACGCAGATGTTCTTAATTATCAGATTTTAAGTCTGCAGTGACAGGCGAAAGTAGACCGTATTAACTGCCATAGGGTTCGTTGTATCTTTATCTTCTTTTAATCGGGTCATTGTCTTACGTAGAAATAGTGTAGAAATTTAATTAGGATCATATATTTCTTGGATATTAGTTTTCGAATATGGCAACGTCCATACTTCTATTCGAATTTAATCTCAATATTGTTTTTAAGTAGAGAGCTCGATCGTCTCTATTATTGGAATAAGCTCTTCATTATGTATTCCAATTTAATTTTGTTCTCAAATTTCTGTTCAAATTTAGTTCAAATCAAACGTTACGGCATTAATTGTCACAACTAGGGATGCCTGTCGTGTGAAAAAAATTAGATACGATAAAATCCGTAAAACAAGTTTATTTAGGTAATCCTATTTTGTATTCGAGTAAAGTTGAGAAATCGTTCAATATTTTACATGATACACCAATGAAAGTTTATTTAAATCCTGGTATTAAAGTTTCATTTCATAAAAATGATTTCCTAATACAATTATAACAATAGTTCGCTTATTTATAACACACACGACACGTGTACGCACCCTTCACCCTTTAATCCCGGCCATAAACATAATGGCGGCGGCAGTTTATGGCGGGAACAATGACATTTCAAATTGTGTCATAATATCCGCGATACGGATGAGCCGTCGCGCCCATTCCAACAATCGGGGGCTAATTTCTTTCGGCTAATGTTCGCGGACAGTCCGTTATAAATCTTTAAAAGTTGAACGGCCGTCCGTCCGCCCCAATTTTCACTAATGGCTGACAACGAGCCCTATTTTGAGATCGACACCAATGTGGCCCGAAGTTTCGATCGATGGCCGACCTTAATGAGTTCTGTATACGTTGCTGAACCATTGTAAAATCACAACTAATTCTATTTATAAATGTCTACTGGTCCTATTATTGATTTAATATCGCTGAGCGTTTATTAAAATTAAATCCCTTGTTTTATTTCATTTCTCCTATGTCATAATAATCCGGCTTAGTAAGTTAATGAACGCAACACTTCAGTCTACAGAACCCAAACTAGTTGGAATTCTGAGATTGAGGTAGACATTTAGTGTTGAGGTCTGTGTTTAAAGACATTATTAGATTAAAAAAAATTTTTTGAGAAGCGCCCAAATTTACACAGGAGGTTCACACTCGGTAGTATAAGCGTTTATTAAAATAATAAAAAGTTATTAAAAAAAGTTTTTTTTTTCCAAAAAATATGCCATTATATTTCCTAGAAAACAGAACGTGTTGACAATGCGGTAGTCATTCATAAATACCTAATTTTTTTAGCGCGCGTTAAATAAATGATTTGCGTATAAATCATACACTTTTTGCGATAAGTTCAAATGAATGTAATTAATTACTTACCAGTGATTTTAAATATTTATCATTTTTGATATAAAATTATTTATTGTTTAAAATGTAATGAAAAAAATTGGATACACTTACAAAAGCCACCCTGTATATACATTGTTGCATAGAAATTTTTCAGCACTAGCTATCTATGTAAGCAGCTGTGGCGTTAATGCAATAACGCCCTGACGATCGACCAGTATGACACCTGTTATTTCTGAAATTTACTTTGAGCGGATCATCCTCAAGTGTTGCCTGCTACTTCTAAATCCGAGTTAAAGAATAAAAGAGTTAAGGAGCAGAAAAAATGTTTTAGAAAACAAGTTGAATATAATTAAAAAAAACTAAAAAACCCGACTGCGTTTCTGTGTATTCACTCTCACAGTGAAAACGAATCTAACGTCATCTCTCGAGCTATATACATACTTTCGATAAACATAAACCCTCCTTCTGGCGTAGTCGGGTAATAAAAATTAGTGTTGCAAAAAAATGAGTGATGTTTGTACCTACTACATTTCTAAAGAACGTTGGTTTGTTGTATGCGTTACATGTAAGTTTCATTACGAACCCCGCGAGAAGTACTCCGGTTTTAGTTCTTTATGAAATATTAAAGCACTGCTTTCGTGGCCACGCGAAAATTCTTCATATACACGGCGCCGGGGAAATCTGGCGTTCGCGTACTTTTTGCACTTAAAAAAATTCCCTTTTGATTTGCTACTAGAATTTCCGTTGCGGCGGCTTACAGCGGTGAGTACTAAAATTTCAACTCTATGACGTTTATTATTCAGTCTGCATACCTTTACCTCTATTATAGGTGGCCTCTACCTCTGCTTGTAATGCATTGGGAACAAAGTCGTAAGACTCTTTCGGCGTTATGTGATTCTCTATTGCGGCTATCTTTCGTCCCAGTCTCACTTGAAGTTACAAATTTAACTGTCCCTTAAAACCGATTTGCGTCAATCAATCAAATTCGACTGAAGTATATAAGCTAGAATGCAATTAAACTTGAGAAGTCCAAATTATTTTCACCCTCTAGCGAGTTAAAGATAAAGGCCCCACTCTAAACCTGAATTGTTAGGATTCCGTCGACGATCACATTAAAATTTCAATAAATACAAATTACCCTCGCTACTAAGGTATCTGGAATGTTTAACACTTAATTGAAATATCGGAACCGGAGGGTCAGTATAGCGTCGTTGAAATCCTTACTTCCTTACTAATATTAATAATGCTTGTATGTATGGATGGATGTTTGTTACTCTTTCACGCAAATACTACTGAATGGATTTTAATAAAATAGCTTATACATTAGAATAGCAAATAGGCTATAATTTAAATACATATTTTTATGTATATTTGTCTTTCTGTCTGAATGTTACGCCTTCAGCCTATTCTTCGCAGATGTAGTCGCAGGCAGCAGGTAGTTATGCTATAACGTTGTCAACATGGACTCGATAAATTTCAATTGACTTGCAACTCCTTCTTACGTATTCTTCTTAAGTAAGATTTATGTGGTTAAATATAAGCTTATCCGATATACTTTTGTTTTTCCTTGTTCGCTACGTATACATGACCAATACAGAAATTAAATCGAAGTTTACTACATGACAATGATTGTAAATGTGTAACATTGGGCAATGCTTATGTTTGGATGACTTCCGGATGGAATGATTTGTATTCAACATATGCTTGGCAGCCTCCAGTGTATTGCATTTTTAAGCATTTAATAAGTCCATTACACTTTAAACAATAAAAGCTTTCATGATACTAAGCTGTTCACTTAAATGCAAGTTAAAATAGTAGATACAGTATATTAAATATTACGACATGGCACGATTTTTGTCTATAAAATATTAGAAAAAAACATTCTATTAGAAAGTTATTATTTAACTTTTTAGTCTAGTAGGTATAAGGGTGCATAGCAACAATTCTGTGATTTTAACACTAAGATATTTATTGCTTATATAATTATTTAATTCCTATGTAACTTAGATATTTATTTAAGATATTCCACTCCGACTTAATATAATCGTCAATAAAATTCGCGATCACACAGTAATTTTGCTTTACGTTTGTTTAAATCAAACTCAAAAGAAGAGAATATATACCAGCATTTATATAAAATATTATAATTAGGTATTTAAAATATTAGCCCCGAAATGTAACGACCGTAAAAACGGTCAATTTGGCAGCTTTTTTTCTTGTTTTATCTACAATTATATTAAAATTTATATAAAAATCATTTATTTCTATTTTGAAGACTAATGGTTAGCGGACCTGTGTTTTACACCTGGGAATTGTGGGTCGATCGCCGCTACTCAAAAGATGAGGTAAACCTATTCTTTATCTAGCTAGAGTCTGGGTCTTTACGTATCTGTGTATTTGTTTACAAACAAAACTATATTTGATTATAATTATTAGTTACGCCTATAAAAATATATATATATAGCCTATAAAAATGTGAAAATATATATATATATACAAATATATATCTATTAATTTATTATATGTTTGTTTGATGTAGCCAAATTCACTTAGGTTACATATTTAAGTGTCGCTGTATATAAGCAACTTACCTTTACGTACGAAAACGTACTAAAATATGTATGACCTTTTAATTTGACTTGCAATAAAATGGGGCAACTGCAAAATCGTCATATTAAACTCAGTAAATACAAGATATGAAATGTGGGAAAAAGATACATTACAGGACACCACGTTCTTACTAAATTATTCAAAGCACCTCTTTATTTACATTATTAAAGATAAGCTCTGCTATAAAAAGGTTTTATATTTGAGGTTACGTGATTGTCTGAGTTGCTTGCATAAGCGTGTTCCGTCTGGAAGTCCGAATTGTCGAATTTCAGCACTCGAACGTGCAAATGCCCCCCACACGGGACTCCGGTGTCTACGCGTTAGCACTTTGGCGCCCATTTCTAGCATCCTCCAGTGCTTCCGCCTACGTGATTAAAAATCAAGGCGTTGTGTACAGATTAAATAATATTATATATTTTCTTCATTAACGTCGTACTAATTGTGAATTTACATAATTATAGCGATGTAATTATTAATTTATAGGACTTGTGCAGTGCAAGTATGTTAAAAATAAAATTGTTTATGCACTCTATTACATTTCCATCTTTGATTTATTTTCGTTACTAGCTGCTGCCCGCGACTACGTCTGCGTTGAATAGGCTGAAGGCGTAACATTCAGACAGAAAGACATACATAAGATATGTGTATAAATTTTAGCCTATGTGTTATTCTGATGTATAAGCAATATTATTGTGAAGTTTCATTAAAATCCATTCAGTAGTATTTGCGTGAAAGTGTAACAAACATCCATCCATACATACAAACTTTCGCCTTAACAATATTAGTAAGGATCCTGGTCTTATTTTTAATTTATACAAGGACATAGATTTTCAGGTACAATTGAAAAGGCGGAACTATATGGATTTATACACAAAATCAACCCTAGTTTGTAGAAACGTAATAAATGAAACGTAATGATGAAACTTAAGTGCATCATGACGTGGTGTATAATCCAATGTCCTGTATTAATATGTGCAATCAGTGTAATTATCGGGAACACAAGTTGTATTTAGAAAAACTAAAGGCTGAGTATTTATAGCTCTAATCTATATTTGTCAAGCATCCACGGTCCATGGTTTCAAAGAGATTGTTATTTTAATTATTACGGGGATTACAATTTTAGCAAAATATTGTTAATATGGAAGAGTGCTCATTTTTGTTCATGAGTCTTTTGTAGGAATGCAAAAGTATTTTACGTGTAGAAAAAGGCCATTGTGAGAAAGGGCCTCAAAACCTTTTCATTAGAATGTATCTTTTTTTAACTTTCGTTATTCATTATAACGGCTTACGTACGTTTGGACTTTTTTGTTACGTATCCTCTTTTGGATATGTATAAAGTCCGATTGAGACGAAATTCGAGAAATAAGTAACGTAGAAATTTAAATTGTTTATAGTGCTAATCTTTGCACTTAAGATGGAACATTAAAATTTGTAGAAAAAGTATGAAAAGATTGTCGCAGCTGTGGGAATCGAACCCACGTCTTCGGCATTCGCGGCCTGACGCTCTAGCCACTGAGCTAAACGGCTGATTGCCATACCGACGAAAATCTTAACGTCATTTTCTACATTGTTTCTTAGCATTTGAAGCCATGTTCCATCTTAAGTGCAAAGCTTAGCACTATAAACAATTTAAATTTCAAAAAAAAAAAAAAAGCAATGGCGATATCTCTCGTGTGAATTATCGTTGTAAAACGATATTCGAAATTGTTTGTATGCTGGAAAGGATATAACACGTCTCCAGTTCGACCGTCTTTATACCTACAATTTTGTGTCATAACGGCCGGAATTTCGAATGACTTTTTAATAGAAAGTTAACGAGTTAGAAAATAACAACCTTGTATCTCCTTTACAATAAAAACTTTAAACAAATTTCAAACTGTTACGACTGGAAGTTGGCAAGTTCTAGTATTGTCTCTGGTATAAACGAGCTAATAAATCATGAGAAATTTTTGCTAGCACATAAAATACGCTTATATTTACTCAAATTTGACCTATTATATACCTATAGGTTGATTTTTTTAAAATAATTTATGGCCTTAGCTTTATGATCCACGCACTAACGACAATCACGAGACACGACGGCACAGTACCTGCAAGTGTGCTGGTTTTGTTCGCGAAGGGTTGTTTAATAGAAACACAGAAAGGTGCAACTTGTTGAAGAAAAAAAAAGTACTCGTCTCGCGTTCGTCTCGACGAACTAGGCGGTGTTGTATTTTTAATCAGTTATGTCACTGTTTTTATAATGAAGGAAACTGCTGTGAAAATATGAACCGTAACATGTTTATATATGACGGTAACTTTAACAATAAATGTCATGACATAAAATGTTAAATTTAAAGAATAATTAAATCACTAGTTATTGTGCAAAAAATACAGATCGACGTAAGCTATTATATATCTATTTTTACGGGGTACGAAACCCTAAAACGGGACCCTATTATTAAGACTCTGCTGTCTGGTCTGATGATAGATGATGATTTTCACAGATGATGTATTTCTGTTGCCGCTATAACAACAAATACCAATAAACAGAATAAAAAATATTGAATCCTCTACAACAGACATTATTTTTTTCCGTTTTTATAGAAAACGAACGGTACGGAACCCTTCTTGCGCGCGACCGACTCGCATATGATCGGTTTTTTTTTATTCGAAACTGGCCATCGTTTGACTGCCATCCCACCTGATGGTAAGTGGCGATGATTTCAGCCATTGATGAAAGTAAAGACCTGTTCACGATTGCTTTGAAAACGCCGACGTTGCAATCGGACGGAAAGACGGACGCCGGCAGGTGTTCCATTCTTTAGCAGTACGGATGACAATTTTGTTCTGCGCAGGCGCTCACGTGAATCCGGCCGTCTCGGCGGCGCTGTGCGTGAGGAGACGCGTTTCGCCCCTTCGTGCGGCGCTCTACGTGGCCGCCCAGTGCGGGGGCGCCATCGCCGGTGCCGCCGCCATCTACGGGTAAGTTGTAATTTCAATACGAACGCCTTAGATATCGATTTGTACTCCTCTAGAAGCAGTAGCGGATTTACCAGCAGGCTAAGTAGGGTAGAGCATAAGGCGGCAGATTTTAGAGGGCGGCAAATTTGGTCCAAATATTTTTCTTTACAGAAGTAAAGAAAAACATCATTATATACGTAGTGAAAACGACTATTGAAAAATTAACGTTATGTTAGACATTCATATCACTGTTTATTTTATTGCCATTATTAACCGGATTGTTTAATAACAGAAAATGTAATAGTTATACTGTTCTTATTATTTTTAAACTGCAATAAAAAAAATTAACAACGTTTACTTACATGTACATTAATTTTTGTTAGCTTTGGTCAGATATTGTAGTATTTTTGGCTGAAGTCTCTAGGGGTGGCAAAAATCGAACAGCCTATTGGCGGCAAATTTGTAAATCCGCCATGTGTAGAAGGTAATGCTTTACCGGCTTTATAAGGAGGAAATTGTTTGGGATATCTTCGTCACGCCGGTCTTCCGCGAGCTCTTATACGTCTTCGGTAAAGTCGACGATTTGTTTTACAGCAAACCTTGTGCATGCGGTTATCGCGCCATTTTGTATTCTGAAGTGCAACGCGTACGAAGTGGGGCGAACGTTTAAACTAATTCAACGAATCTGAGTAAACCCTATGGAGTATTTTATGACACTCGCTCACTTGGTGGTCTGAAAAGAAACTCTCAGTTCACCCTACTTAATGAAATTAAAGGCGACTCCTAAAGAGAACCACTACCAAAAGCTACGGACTTTATCTTTAGGTTAACTAAAGTCAAATATAGCGATCCAGGTATTTGAGATATCGTAATGCTGTTAAGTAGAGGTTTCAATGTCTTATATTTAATAGTTTTCTTATTTTTTTTAAAGGCACTATATCTTAACAGTAAAAAAGACAACAGGTAACGTGTATAAGTGTAACAATTACTATAGAGAAGCACTTATAATTTTAGTGACTTAATGAGATAGTTTTAATAACCTATCTATTCATAGATGCCTGAAACCTGTTACAGCTTTTAACAATTTTTTTATATAGTTTTAATCATTGTAAGTCAACCATTATGGAATAGCAACAAGCAAACTTTTCAATTGTTGTTATTTATATTCTTATAGATAGAATATGATTTGACACTAGTTTTCTCTTATTTCAAAAATGAATTATATGCCTTTTATAATTATTTTTATGAGAGGTGGCACAAGAGCAGGCCGCTGAGTTATATTGATTAACTTTAAGATTGGACATCAGGAAGCAGGGTATGCTTGCCAAACGAAGCGCAAACGTTGAAATACTTTTTCTATACGCCGTTATTTCAATTTAGTTTTATATTAGTAAAAAAATACAATATATTATACCATTTTTTACCAATTATTTTTAATTATGAACACATACCTATGATCAAAAATGTACAAATGTATTAATATATACAATCATAACAGATACTGTGAACTTAACTAACGGTTTATTTTAAAAAGCATAAATTTCACATATTTTACCATATTCCTTCCATTATAAATTTCCCTCGCTTGGTTTAAAAAAACGCTGCGGATGCAAGTTTTTTAGCTAACTTTATTTAATTAGACTTGGGCGTTTTTCGTCCTGAATTGAATGAAGCTTATCCCTTAAGGACAAATGGGATACCGCCGCGTTGAAATACGACCCTACCATTAATTGACTTTCACTTTATTACTGAAAACTAATTAATTTTAATTGGGAAACACAAGTGTTTGGCGCTAAATTAAAAAAAAAACGTCAAGTGGATCGCAACTGACGAGGTTCCTTAATGAAAGAAAGTAGATGAATGATGCAGTTAACAGTGACTTCGCGGAGCCACAAAAATTAAACGTAAAAATAGCAAAGAATTATACATTTTTAACTTTTACATAAAATAACCATAGTAATTATTTGTGGCGTACTAGAAGTATCCTGTGTAACGTGTAGGTACACTATTGTTATTATTCATTATTACTATGCCACAGACTACAATCCGTCGTAAAGTTTTGGTGTGACAGACCTTTTATCCTGACAAATATTGGCTCAAATATATAAACATGTCTTGCAGCATGTCTGGAGATATGATTGGGGAGCGACAGGGCTCGTATAAATAAAGTGACATGTTTACGGTTGGTTGGGTCATCGAATGATTTCGATATTCAATATCAAAATTCACTTTAAATTTCTATGGTAAAATGTAGATTAAATTTTTCCTCGTTATTTTTAAACTAAACAGTTGTAGGAAGCGGGATATTTCCATTACTTTTATTGTGGTTGGTCTAAGTAGCGGTTTCTGCCCTTAGTCGAATTTACGCAAACAGGCGTGATCGTCTAGGGACCACGTCCTAAGATAGGACCTGTGTAATGTTAGAGTTTTATATTTGTGCTATTAGTTTGTTGAGTAAAACTTTATTTGGTAATCATTGGTGCGACATCGGATGAACTGTCTTGTCTGCTTCCCACACAAAAGAATAACTAACTACTTCCTCACGGATTAAATAAGTCTGGCCAGTTTTTCTGCAGTTTGTTCTGTTTAAGAATATTTTATCATCAACCCGATTGGAATACTATAATGTTGGGAATTGGGATTGTCTTTTGTCTCTTTACAAGAAAAATTCCGCGTAGACATGCACGGACTTGTCCGAGTTTACGAAACAGGTTGCATTAAAAGGTCCTTGTTTGAATGCATGCTCGCGCTTTTTCTCCGATCTCGAACAAACTGACGGCAACTCGGTACCGATTTTATATGCATATTCAAAATAAAATTCAATTATCTTGCTTTAATATAGAAGCATAACACTTACTTATTGATCGTCAAAAACACTGCTACCGGTTCGTAAAAAAGCCACTCACCTGTGAACATTCGGCGAAATAGACTCAGCCGAACAATATTTTTTAACATAATTTGACAAAAAAATAACAAACATCTATACAATATATTAAATTCCACTTAAAAGAGTCTGGAGCGATCAATTAATTCCCAGAGTGTGTTATCATTTAAATAATCACTAATAGGTACTGTAAATCCTGAAACATATCACATACACAAATTTTATTGAACAATACATGGTCTTCGCGTGAATACATTATTTACTCCATTATTGTCAATTGTTCTGTAGTGTTAATAAAACTTGACATTTTGATTAATTATTTAAATTGTATTTCTTTTTAACGAAATACTTATATTAGGAGTAATAAACCTTTATGCCTAAAACGTAGAACCTTGGCACAAATTTCGCCTCTACATATCTGACACAGCCACATCACCTGAACGAATAATTAATCTTAATTGGGGATTAAAATAAGAATATTCATCAATTATACATTCTCTTATAATCGCCAAAAAATATAATTATGTTTATTAATTTAGTAATGACTTCTGTTTTTTCCTATTTGTTATATTTACTGTTTTATCTATAAATTTGCTTAATCAAACATCTGGATATAACTGCTGCGTTACCAACCAAAAAAGTCTTCTGCTATAATGAGAAAATTCGGAAATGGTCTCGACCGTCGTTCGGACCCTTGCAAGGAATATTTTTCCTGAGCAGTATAGCTGTTATTAGACTCTGTTATAACCTTGGCGTATTTATCGGAATATAGAAATATTTTCTGACTTTTATTCATAAGGTATATAGTATACCGAACTAATGACTACTAATATCCAATACAATAATATCCAGTAATGGTTTTTTGGAATCGGAATATGGAGCTATGTATGCGAAATATTACCGGTTGTTACCATTGTTAAAATCCACTTTATCATACATTTATAATTTATTTTATTTGTAATGACGGTTTGTAAGCACTCATATGTTTTTTCTTAATATAGGGTGAATGATAAATTAGTTTCGAAAATATTGCTTACTTACTTACGCGACTACGTCTGCGTAGAATAGGCTGAAGGCGTAACATACAGACAGAAAGACAGATATACGTAAAAATATGTATATAAATTATAGCCTATTTGTTATTCTGATATGTTATGTTACCTATATTATTGTAAAGTTTCATTAAAATCTATTCAGAAGTATTTGCGTGGAAGAGTAACAAACATCCATCGATACATACAAACTTTCGCGTTTATAATATTAGTAGGGATTTGTTTATTCCGTATATGTTGCCATTATTTCGTGCAATTAATAAAACTTTGCCTTTGACTTTGGGCCCCAAAGAATGAAAGATTTGTTTAAAAAAAAAAGACAATTTGAAACAAGTATCTTTATCTAAGACAATATTAAACAAGTAGTACATTTTAATATCATACATAACAAGGTATGGCAATTACAATAATTATGAAGATCATTCAATATGCTAATGACAATTAATTTGTGCGGTGAATTTATTGTGTTATACTAAGTATAGCCCGTACAGACGGTACACGTAATCGATGACATAAATTCAATTTGTCCCATTTGGTTAATTTAATTCACGATTTATAATCTGTGTACAGTATATGTAACGCGCTTATATTTTGTTATTTAGTTTGTGTTCTTTGTATCGGTGTGGATGAAAGATTCGCTTCATACTACGCTTGGAATATATCGTTACCCTGAGATGTTAGCTTTTCCAACTTCTGGTGATGCTAGAACACTATATAATATTGTTCTAAAATGTTTAAGCATGCGTTAATTTTTTGTTTAAGTGTTTATGTAACTAAGTTTGTACAATGAGGGTGATATTTACCTACGTGTGTAAAAACTCTCTTTAATTTAATTAAAAAAAATACCCTGGGATGTAAAAGTTTAAATTCTATCGCAAAAATTTGTTCAAATAAAACTTGTGTGAGAGTTCACCATTGTCCTTTGCGTTAGACAAATAGTCGTTGAAACAGTTTACGCTAAAACATGGTCCGGTTGGGAGTCGCCAGAGATCGCCAAACTGCGGCGCAAAAGCTTTTTATTTTGCAACACAGCCAACTAAACAATTGCTTCAAGTTCTATAAGCTGGTGCAAGGTCAAAATGATTC